GTTTAAAGAATCAATATTTCGTGAGATATCTCACAAGTCGAATGTTGTTGATTACTGATATGTCTTACGTTCACAAGCGTTTACCATCACTCATTAGAAATGTGAGATATCTCACGAAACTTTGAGTTTTTAAACATTATACCCTAATACACATTTTTTTACGCAGAATGTTCGGAGGAATTGATACGAATTAAAAAAAAAATGTATTTGCATTTTTCGGGTGCATCGTTGCATTTGTGAATAAAGTGAAGTCGTAGAGGAATAGACATTATCATATCATTGCCATTCAAGTTTTCCTTCTACAGAGTTTTTTCTATCACTTACCAAATTCGAGATACTATACAGGGTGAACCACTTAAAACCGGCCACCTGAATAACTTCGCTGCTATTGGTGATAGGAATAAATGCATCAGGCCAAAATTATTTGGTATCGAGGGGCTGATCATCCCATGTTACTAGTTTTTTGATAGGTGGAGGCCTCCAGGAGATATGAAGGTCATCTCTGTTTTTTTAAATGGAACGGTATGTTTTTTTACTTACATTCTGATAGAGTATTTCAAGACGAATACAATGACTTATTAGAAAGGTCATTCGTGGTCTAGGTTCAGCCAATTGTGATGGAAAATAATTTACTTTGAGGAAATGGTCGAACACTTCCTTACCGTCTCTGGTTGTTGATATTATTACTTCATCTCAGTCTCGTAATCTCTTGTTATGGGTCGTTGAATGGAAATAAACATTCAATCACGCTGTATGCTTCATCTGTACATACTATGATTAGTCGTTTATGAGAATCTCTGCCGAACGAAGTGTATCTCAAGTTTCCAAAATGCGTTATTCAATAGCGGTGAAAGTAGATATGGTGTTTGTTTATGGGGAATGTCGCCAAATTGTAAGAGATGCAGTCCGTTTGTATGCTGAACGGTTTCCCCGAACGTGTTACACCTTCACGATCTGCATTTACGAATGTTATTAAAAGTTTTCAAGAAACTGGACGTGTAGATAACAAAATACGAAGAAGATCCAAGGCAGCAACTGATGATCGAAATACAGTGAACATTTTAGCAACTGTAACACAAAATCCCCATGCTAGTGCAAGGCAGCTAGCACGTGAAAGTGGCATCAGTCAACGAAGTGTTTTGCGAATATTACATTTAAATAAATTTCACGCTTTTCATGTTTCATTTCACCAAGAATTACATGGGAATGATTTTCAAAACCGTGTAAATTTTTGTGAATGGGGTCTGAAGAAATTACAGAGTGATAAGCTGTTTTTAACTAAAGTTTTGTTTACGGACGCAGCCACATTTACAAACTGTGGCCAAGTCAATCGTCATACTATGCATTATTGGTCAATAGAAAATCCACGGTGGCTGCGAGAAGTGGATAAACAAAGATCTTAGTCTGTAAACGTTTGGTGCGGACTTCTTAACGGTGTAATAATTGGTTCTTATTTTATCGATGGCACATTAAATACTTCGAGATATAAAGACATTTTAACGGAAATTTTGCCACACCTGCTGGAAAATATTCCGCTTCACATATGGCAAACTATGTGGTTCCAACAAGATGAATGCCCTGCTCATTCTGCACGGATAATTACTCAATTCCTCAACGTGACTTTCGGAGATCGTTGGATTGGTCGTGCAGGAAATCATAAATGGCCCGCACGTTCTCCAGATTTAACACCTCTGGACTTCTATTTGTGGGGAAAATTAAAGCAGCAAGTGTATAAGGAAATACCAACAACCAAGGAAGATATGAAAGAGCGTATAAGGAGAGCTTGTCCCGCAATAAACACAATTGAAATTCAACATGCCGTATTATCCGTCAAGCAATGCTTTAGAGCATGCATCAATGTTCAAGCTCACCATTTTCAACACTTGTATTAGTCGTGTATTACTGTTAGATAAATAAATCAACGGTGCTTGATCATTTCCTCAAAGTAAATTATTTTCCATCACAATTGGCTTAACCCAGACCACGAATGACCTTTCCAATAGGTCATTGTATTCGTCTTGAAATACTCTATCAGAATGTAAGTAAAAGAACATACCGTTCCATTTAAAAAAAAACAGAGATGACCTTCATATCTCCTTAATACCTTTACCTATCAAAAAACTAGTAACATCGAATGATCAGCCCCTCGATATCAAATAATTTTCCTTTCACCAATAGCAGCCAAGTTATTCAGATGGCCCGGTTTTAAGTGCCTCACCCTGTATATCTTGGCCGAATTGCGTGACGCAGCCTGTATACGTAGGTACATATCTGCCGATTGACAAGTTATCGATGGTTATTACGGGACTGGTTAACGAGGATTCCAAATATTTGTTTTCACGTACTTACATATATGTACGTGCTCCTTCGCGCATTGAAGTTCCCGCAATTGATTGACTCGCGCACGCAGCCTGTCTCGACATGCGACACGATGTCGCCGACCGTTTCATCTGGAAATGTTGTTGCATTTCGGGTCGTCGCACTAAACCGATTCTCCCGTAAGTACCGTCGGGTCGTCTCGAACGGGTCATTAGTTTTAGGCGCCGAAACACTGCACGAGCAGATTCATGTCAGTATTATAGAATCGGAATACTTCAGTAACCGAAGATTATAACGTTTTCCAGTCAGAACGAGAGTAACCAGGAGTCTCCCAGATTCTTTGATAGCTTCGGTCTGTATTGGTATACATATACATACATACATATGGGGGAGAGGTGGTATGAAAGGGACATTTTTGTTTTGAAGAAAATATAAAAAAGGCTAAAAGAATATTCTACTTCTAATTGATAATTTTGGAAAGTTTAGCAACCTGGTTATAACTATACGTTGTGATATTAATCTGGCTCTACATATGCCTATTTTATTTTTCACTTTTTAAAAGAATGTATTTTGTCCCTTTCATAAATTGGTTGCATTGAATGGGACATCGATATTTATGAATGGAACAGTGTGATAAAAGAGAATAATATCAATACTAATACTTTCATTATTATTTCTGCAGCTACCAAAATCACAATATTATCGATTTGATTCTTCAACAATATAAATACTATACTACTACCGACATATATGTAGCAAAATTTAGATTAAAGTTACATTACTTATGAAACAAAAATAATCCTCAAATTAAAGAAGAAAAAATAATTTTTCGATCAAAAATACAATAAAATTCTTATATTAATCAAAATTAACAGAATAACACAATATTAATCATTTAATACCATAATGAACAAAAGAAATTAAATACGCCTTTTATACCGCTTCTTCTATTTTGTCCGCATTAACACGATCTCGTTTTTTAGGTGGCATATTTAAACTGTAAAAAGTGAGGAAAAATATTCGCAATAAGAGTTGTTTAATATAAAAACGGTGAATGTTCCTAATCATAGTAAAGTTTTGAAAGGGACAGTTATGAAAGGGATGTCCCATTCATAAACTTTCGTTGTGTCCCTTTCATAAATTTGGCAACAAATTTGAAAACCTAACCAACAATTAGCAGAGTATTAAACAAAAGATACCGGACACTTCATGTTACTGTTCTTGAATAAATACCTGTTCACATGTAGTAAGAAAGAAGTTACATAGTCGGTAATAACAACACTTCGTAAAAACGTTTTGAAAAACTATCAGAAGTTTTACTTTTGATGTCGAAAAAGTTCAATCGTACGTTACTGCCTTGCTTGAAACGACGACTTCAAACTAAACGCGAAGGCATATGCATAAATGTCGCTAGAAAACAAAAAGACGATCGTCCTGGGCAGACCTTCCAACTTCAGAAAATTTATAATGTCCCTTTCAACACGCGTCCCTTTCATCCCACCTCTCCCCTACATATAGTATACCGTTGTCAACGAGAACGTTCGAAAAATCCAAGACATAAATTTTCAAGTCGTCTACTTAAACGAGAAAAAAACCGTACACTGGCTGAAAATCTGTGCATCGAACTTCACGACATATGTGTGTATGCACGTGAGTGCGCGTATACATAAGAAACTACGTTATGTTTGCCGACCTGTTGCTACACCCTCCTCCATTTTCACTTCTCAGCCCAATACGGCTATCCCTTATTCGGTGATTCACCCCCTGCTTGGAAATGGATCTCGCTCGCGTTCGTTCAGCTTATTGAAAACGTTCTGTATTTTGGTCTGCGAGCTGTCTGTCGTCGTCTCTTCTTCAGACTTCATATTTTTCATGTGGACACAGTGGTTCGTTCAGCTTAATCTAATGCGTTAATCTATAATCTATATCTTTTAGTTATTGTTCCGCGTACAGTTTGCTTCTGCTTCTGTTTCGTTTCGGTGAAGTTGCGGATCGAAGTCCTAGCAAGTTATCCTGCTTTCCTTGATTTCCCTTACGCTTTTTTCACGGTTGTAATCATCTCATTTTTAAGTTTACGGCTAGTTCTTTTTTCTTTAAGCGAATTAAGTAATTTCACAAGGCCATAAGGCAATGCTGTCCAGCCTGTTTCTCGGATGGGGCCACCCGCGCGCCTGTTTCCCTTTGCCCCTTTATTTCGCGGAGGAGAAGGCCGCACACGACAAGCTAGCGTTACCGTAATAAAGGTAGCTCAGAACGCCACGCGCGGCACGTGTATTTATTAGTAATGCCCACGACTAATAACAACGCGATGATTACAATTGCCCGCGAATATTTTATTTTCCATCTTTTTTTCATTTTATAAATTGCTCCTCAGAAAAGCCAGCTCAAAATCTACATTTTAAAATCTACTTCTCAAAATCTACAAACACGCGGCCATCAATTACCTGAGTCGTAACACAAAAGACAATGTGATTCCTTTCGCGGCAAACAATCGTGGATATTTGTAAATCATACTGGCCGCGCATCTCCCCGCTATGTAGTGGCGGACAATGATGGGGCACGTCTCTCGTCTCTAAAGAGACAAACTGGACAGCACTGCCATGAGGCAATATGAGACAAGTCATATTTAAAAATCCAAATTATTGTTCGCTTTGTTTTCAGCCTCGGGAGGGGGAGGTCCGATGTTGGTCCCTCCCGTGGCCCAAACTGGGGATCGTGCTGTAGGCGACACGGGCACTCGGGCCCAACAGACGTCCGGCCCTGCCGCGGCAGCAACCCTATGGCCCTTGGCACCTGCGCAATCCAATCAGGTTCCCAGCCAACAGTCGCAAGGTATACCACCCTTGGCCGCGACCCCCGCACCGGCTCATAGCCAAGGTAATATCTGTTTTCTATACAAATAATCTCTAAAACAATTTCATATTCAACAATACAGGGTGTCCCAAAATAGGTGTAAATCCTTGACACGAGTGATTCCTGGAGTCATTTGAAACAGCTTTTTCCTTAGCGAAAAAGTTCTCTGAGGCTTTCTTAACGAGATACTAACGAAAAACCCCGATCAATCAGAGCATAAGCCTGAGTCTGCCGGTTGAGTTCCCACGGTAGGGTTGACTACGCGCTGCGCTTCTACTACGAACAAGCAAGTCGGCATGAATCGAAGGAAGAATTTGAAATATTTGTATGGGATACGCATGATTCTGTTGACATTTTTTGCGAATGATTTAGTGTGCATTTTCAATGCAATTGTGTAAAAATAAGTAAAACGTACAAAAGAAATCATGCAAATGTGAATAAACTGTGCAAAAGAAATCATGCAAATGTGAATAAACCGTGCAAAAGAAAAACTGTAAAAGTGAAACGTGTAAAAAAACACTCAGGTCTATACCCGCGAGCAAACGCGGCTTCCACTAGGGGAAAAAGTAACGAATTAAGGAAAAGGACTCCTACCACTTGGTATTGGGAATTATTGAAATTATACCAAATTATCACTGAATTTAACATTAATTCAGTACCTGGAATAAATTTACCAAGTGGTAGTAGGTCCTTATCCTACGCCACTGTTTCTCCTAGTGGAAGTCGAGTTTGCTCGTGGGTGTACATTACATGTTAGTTTAACGAGATATTAGTGTCTATTCATAATTCGTCCAATGAGTGGAGTCAGCGCGGTTATAAAAAGATGCACATATTGCACATGGGTTAGATCTGCGTTAGAAAAGTTGAATTCAAAACATAAAAGACTGATTCTAAATTAGTTAAATCTAGTTTAAGAAAAGAAAACTACTGATTCAAAACAAAAGATTGATTACGTGTGAATAGGTTTATGTTTAACCTATTCACAATTTTACTAGTACTTACAAATTTTTAGATTCCGCTCGACGAATATTATTAGAGGATATAAAAAACAAGTCAATTTTTGGGCCAGGAAAATAAAATTTAGCCTTTCTGTATTAATGTCAACTGTAATACTAGATTCTGCAGAGCCGAAATAGCTCAGTTGGGAGAGCGTTAGACTGAAGATCTAAATGTCCCCGGTTCAATCCCGGGTTTCGGCAAAGCGTTTTTTTTACCATTTTAATTTTTTTTACGTTCAGTTTATAATTATGTATTTCGATCGCTACAAGTGAATTTCTCCAGAATATTGACATATAAAGCAGCGCTTTGCAAGACCCGAAATAGCTCAGTTGGGATAGCGTTAGACTGAAGATCTAAATGTCCCCGGTTCAATCTCGGGTTTCGGCAAAGCGTTTTTTTACCATTTTAATTTTTTCTACGTTCAGTTTATAATTATTTCGATCGCTACAAGTGAATTTCTCCAGAATATTTACATATAAAACAGCGCTTTGCAAGAGCCGAAATAGCTCAGTTGGGAGAGCGTTAGACTGAAGATCTAAATGTCCCCGGTTCAATCCCGGGTTTCGGCAAAGTATTTTTTTTCCACTTTAATTTTTTCTACGTTCAATTTATAATTGACAAGTGCTTGTAAACAACACTGCAAGTGCCAAAAATCAAATTTTTCAGGAGGCAGAAAAAACTTATCCGACTTTAAATTATTTACGAAATAAGTAGTTCACACAAAAAATTGGTTTTATTGCTATATGTGACTAAAAATACAATAACCCAAATGCATTACAAAATTTTTGAGTTTCTGCATCAATGTTGTCTAAATTCATGAACAAGAAGATTCTATTTGTACAAAATCCCCGTTGTGTACCACCTTTTACAATTACTTGTAGAGACAGCTTCAATGTGCCATTCATTTAAATTTCCAAACACTGTAAGTACCAATTCTATTTTCCGAGATTGTTTTGATAGAAAATTAAAAATATAACGCTTAAAATTGGCGTTTACATTGTTTTCTACAGAAGCGACGTTGATCGTACCAGTGATACCATGTTTTCGCAATATTGATAACTAAGTATTTACAAACGGAAACTGCACTTAAATTCTACATTATAGTATTTCCATCGGCACGTAGAACATTTTTCAATAAAAAGACAAAATTTTTTAATTTTGGCTCTTGCAGTGGTTTCTATAAACACTTTTTATGTAATTGTGCCGATCGTTACAAGTGAATTTCTGTGGAATACCGTCATTTAAAGCCTGTTCCGCAAGAGCCGAAACAGCTCAGTTGGCAGAGCGTCTAGACTGAAAGAACTAAATGACCACGGTTCAATCCTTGGTTTCGGCAAAGCGTTTTTTTTCCATTTAATTGTTTCTATGTTCGAATTGCAATTGTTCCGATTATATTTTTCTGTAAAATGATATTTTTGTTAGTAATGAATTAATATTTTTCTCAGTAATAGCTGTATAAATCCGCTGAAATCATTAAGCTGTTTTTTTTTATAATTCTTTCCTTCAGTTGTTCCCTGAATTTTCTTGTTATTTTTAATTTATAATTCGATGATCATTAAATTGTTTTTTTTTTCTGTTCTAATGATTGTTTTATTTAATCTAGGAAATAGGTCTGTCGCAATGGTTTCCCCGATGTTTTGTATTTTTGTTTCAATAAATGTTTTATTTCTTTTATTCATTTAGAAATGTATATCACTTTACCAAATATTTTTTCTAGTGAAAGAATGTAGTTTTCGTTACAAATGCCGAGTTAGTTTCAACACTGAAACTCATACATACAGTTTTAGTTATAAAATATATGTGATGTTATTTTTTAAAATAGTATAAGTTCGATTTTTTTTGTTTCATAATATTATTATTTAAACATTATTGTTATTTAACACTAGAACTACCGACGATGAACGTATATTTATTTCCGTCGGATCTGTAATCATGAGAACCTTTTAAATATATTTAAATTCTTGAATTAATCAATTTCTTCATTTTCATATTATACGAGTAATTAAACTACTGAAAGATCTGAGAAAGTTTATTTTGGTAACATTTTAATCATCGTTAGAATATTCTACTAACCAGTCATTTTGACTGCTTTGGTAGTTCTAGTGTTAATGCTGTTTATTTTTGTTAGTAGTAGTATACCTATACCAATTACAGTTAATCGATGAGTGTGAAAAATAAATATTCTGTTTAAACGATGTTATAGGTGTGAGTCGTTACGGGCTGTACTCTTTATTCCCCGGGGGTGGCGGGGGTAGTTACGTCGCGGCCACTCCCGCCACCCCAGGACCGCCTACACCAGCACGAGCTTATCACGCGACAACACACAAGGGTAAGTTTAGAACACGATTTATACATTATTCTATTCCCTGCCTTTTGTCATTGCTGTATTTAACTCTTACCCCGTTTTATCCCCCGACCATACTTCTTACTACTTGTCGTATACGTATTATTTTATCGGTATTTAAATAAGTATGAATTCGAGTGTACTCGTAACTCTTAACGTATCAAAAAAACTGTTAAACTTTTATCTCTCATTCAAATGATTTGGCAGAAAGTCTTGCAACGTGAGCTATGTAGTTATGTCAAATTGAGGGCAAAATAGGAACAAGGTTTGCGCAAGCCAATTTGCTGCATACTATGTTGCTGCCAATGTGCGTGCGTTATTTATATGTAGCAAATCTTGCATCAAACTTGTAACTCTAACTTTATAAGAGGCATTGGCCAGAATTTGGCTTTGCAGGCTTGGCTGCCTGGGCCTTTACTACACACTTGTGTGCTTCGAATTTCGGCATTCTGAAATTTTCTGTAGATATAATATTATGAATTTGTTTGAATTTTATTTAATCTTCGTTCAACTAATTTCGAAATTTTCCACCTTGATTCATTATTTCTGTATAATTAACCTATGAGTGCAGAATACAACATTCATAGAAGTGTGTAGTTAAGATAAATTATTCTACATTCTCATCAGAGGTACGAACTATATACATGTATGTATTGGGTCAGTGCTAAAATTTTGATGGATTTTCTGTAAATGGTTCGATCGTCATGGTTTTGTGGAAACAGTAAATAATTCTGTTGATGATTGAACAAAAATTGACGTGTCAGAGTGACTTGCAAGTTTTGCAGCGGAATAATTATTATAAACACCGTAACAAACATTCCAGATCTGTTTGGAGAAGCTGCTGTATTGATCCCAATATGGGATAAAATATAAATTTATGAATTTAATTTAATTGTATAAATTTCAAAATTTTACTCCTTGTAGTAAATTCGAATATGCTACCAGAACAAAGGTCAAATGTTATTGAAAGCAATGGCGATTATCTAATGAATTAAATAAATAATTTTTATTAAAATGATACAGGCTATGCTTTTGTAGCAGGTACACTTAAAGCTTCTGCACTCACCCAATGTAACAATAACATTTGCTACAAGTTTTTTTTAGGAAAGTTAAACCCAGCCGGTAGAAAGTTGCTCATCGTACGGAAAAATTTCTTGGTTTGTAGAATCGAGAGCAACGAGCGTTGTCTTTAATTTCCTCCCGAAATTTCCCATTATTCCGTAAGCAGCTGCAGCAGGTGAGGCGCAGCCTGTGTCAGGCAATCGTTATTGTCGAACGTGTATTATTTCATTTAGATTGCATCGCGCCGGACAAATTATTGCCACGCGCGTGTTCAAAGAGTCGCCAGGCATCAAGCGGCTTGGAAGTTGTTCCAAGTTCGGCGATCGGGACTCCTGGCACCGCGATCGGAACAGCTGGTCGCGTCTTTAATTTATTTCCCCAGAATATATCGTTCTCTCGCAAATTAGTTTGAAGAGCGACGCCCGCGTATGCCACATTAAATAATTATTAGGAATAACTACATAAACGTCTTATTCGGCTCCGTTCACGACACTGGCTATTAAATCTTTTCGACCAGAAAATAACAGGTTTTCGGACTGATCATGTGTCATGCATTGTCAGCCTATTGAACAATAGGGTAGCCCTTATTTATACTTGATGAAAATGTTTTTTTGTATTTCTTTGCTCTCATTTCCTAGAATGATTCCATTTCATAAGAAAATAATCCCTCAAAAAGTTTATTGCATTCAGACAACCGGAAAAGGTGCCTGCCGACCAGGCCTTAAAATTGTCCTTGTCTTCGGAGATTTTAAAGAATTTCTCAAAAATGATAACTCGTATCGAAACGTTGTTCAAACAATATTAAAAGAGCATTTAGTTTTCTACAATTTCTGTTTATAGCATTTTTTTTTGTTTCCAACCATTTGATAGATAACAGCGTTTAATTATTGAGAGGTCCGCACTACGGGCGTGTATGTAGACAATACGCCACGCCGATACTTTATGTGCAGATAAAGGTTCTTTTAGACTGGGGCTAAGACGGCAAAACTGATAGTTTTTACAAAACGCCAGATGTATTTACCACAGATATACATATTTTGGTCTAGATGTACGTATACGTACAGTGTGTTCGACCATCAGTGGCAAAAAATTTCAGGGGTGATTCTTGGGAGCAAAATAAGACAAAAATCAAGAGTAACGAAATTTCAACAAATGCTTCGTTTGTTAGTTATAAGCGTTTAAAAGTAGCCCTAAATGATGGCAATCCACATGGCACGGACTGTCAGCAGGGCAGGGTTGGTAAGAGGCGTATAGTCACTATAAACTCTAAAGACTCAACGACATGCAGGAAAAGTATGTAGAATAGCTATCTACAATACTTACCCGGTAGAAGATGTCAGTAACTTGTGACGGCGGTATTTGATTCGAATCCACTTGTATCGCATTAACCCTGATTACTCGATAAAATTCAAAGGAAATCTATCTATCTTTTTACGAATATTGTCTATCTAATAGGGAAGGTCCAATACCCCTCTAGTTGTCACGTACAGCGATTGTCCTGTCCACGAGTATCCATGAAATTAATTCACACATGCACATACACCACAGAAGCCGCGAAAAGTGTCCACACACTCACACATACATACACACACACACTGCGCGATTGTCCCGTCTAACTTTTAACCTACAATAATTCATTTACACTATTTATAATAACTAAGTATCCGAACTAGTAAATAATTACGACGTGATCACTAAAGAAACTAAAACTTAGTTTTCCGAACATGAACTCTATTTGCTCGAAGAATGCAAGAGGCTCCGTGTGGAAAGGCCAACTGAAAATGTTGAACTGATCCTCCCTCGTTAGGATCGATGTGTCGTAGTAGGTCGATCCCCAGTCTTCTATGATCAATACTTTTTCGAAGGAAAAGCTGCATGGGGAAATTGTTTTCGAGGTCGCATTTCTCACCGAATTATTCTTACAGCAACATCTGTTGCTGTATGTTTTTTTCTACACCATTCGGGTGTACGCCACTCGGCCACGATGCGGAGGGTGTGTGAGGACATTATAATACTCTCACTTGTCTTCTGCAGTGTGACCACCCGCGGTTTGGCATTGCGTTAAGGGAGGAATCGATCCGATCTAACTCGTACTCGTTAATATATGTATGTATGTACTTTTGGCCGGTAACGATGCTCTGTACCGACATCATACCAGCCCGTTTCACCGCCTCCTCCTCCCCCTTCCACCTCCTCACCTCCTTGCTTGCGACAAAGGCCTTGCTATTATGTTTCCGGCTGTCCTCCTTGAAATGAACTTGTAAAAAGAACGTATACAGGGTGTAGCAAAAATGTTGTCCGACCCGGAAATGGGGCACTCGGGGGGTGAATGGGAATAAGTTTTTCCTTAGCAACAATGTAATCTGAGGCTTCGTTACCGAGATATTAACGAAAAACCGCGACCAATCAGAGCGCGAGTTTGTCAGCCGAGTTCCCGCGCGAGCGGTGGCTACGCACTGCGACTGGTAGGCAGCGTTACCGCGGGAACTCGGCTGGTAAACTCGCGCTCTCATTGGTCGGGGTTTTTCGTTAATATCTCGGTAACGAAGCCTCAGATTACATTGTTGCTAAGGAAAAACTTATTCCCATTCACCCCCCGAGTGCCCCATTTCCGGGTCGGACAACATTTTTGTTACACCCTGTGTATATAACGTCGAATGCTAACTCGAAGCTAGAAATGGTTCATGTTATACATATACACAGAATGTAAGCATCGTATAGCACCTCGCGATGCAGGACAATATCATCATAGACCGCGACCCTTGCCGGAGTTTCCGACGCACGGGACGGAACGATCGGACATGGTTGACGCTAATTGTTCCTCTCTCGACACTGCGCTCGAAAGGACAATAGATACCTTTTTTTCCTGGTTTTAAAATATTCGTATCGTAATCTAGAGTCAACCGAAACAGCAGCGGTCGAAGGGACCGAGACGGTTGCGTGTGTACATACATGTGTAAAAGGAAAACGAAGTGCGGAGATGCAAATGCCGAGGAAAGGGCAATACCGTCGTGAAATGTTTCCGATTTTTAGCGACAAATTTTCATACGGGTCGTTTACTCCATGTAGTCATATTCTTCAAAAATAAGCTGTTTTTCAAGCTGTAATATAGGATAGGAGAAGTCTATATAATTTATTAATAAGAGACTATAATTTAATGACATTATTCCGTGCATGTAGCTGAACATCGTAATTAAACAATAATACAAGATCGGAAAATTTTCGTACAAAGGTTTACCATATGCGGAAACCATAGATACATATGTTATGTTCATCTCAGTTATCGCAATGAATATGACCGATCGCTGCAACCGATCACTCTGCATACCTATCAACTAATTAAACTTGCGGTAAATGTGAATCCTGGATCGGGCACAGCACGTCGAAATCCTCGGCTTGCTTGCTACCTGGCGAACCCCATCGTATAGAGGGAGTCCCCTGAACGCTTTTTCTCACCTCGGTATCTGCCCTCAGTGGCCGAGAGGAACTGGCCTTTCACGGACCCCCTGTCCGTGTGGGCACAATGGCGTAATTATGCAATTGAAGCGGGTGAATGAGAGGCTCGGTCAGCGAGGGGTAGAAAATGCTCTGCCAAATAGAATTCCGTCGTACGTGCACGCAGTGTCTTGGCCAGTTCGTGAGCCATCGAAAAACGAAGGGACGAATTTCAAGCGGGAGGAGGGTATGGTGATGGCGGTCATGCTCGAAACGCGAGGGTGGAGATATGTCTCGCCTTTTTACTTTCTACCTGTTTCGTTCGGCCCCAAACGATTTCATTGTCCGAGAAGTAATCCAAAACGCCATACGCGAGGACCGCATGGTCCGCGTGAGAAGTACCGCGAGTAAGGAGGCGTGGAGTCGGTGGAAGGGGGAGAAGGAGGCGGTGAAACGGGTTGGTATGTCGGTACGGGGCATTGTTGTCGGCTAAAAGTACGTATATTATACAGGGTATAACAAAAATGTTGTCCGACCCGGAAATGGGACACTCGGGGGGTGAATTGGAACAAGTTTGTCCTTAGCAACAATGTAATCTGAGGCTTCGTTACGGAGATATTAACGAAAAACCGCGACCAATCAGAGCGCGAGTATGCCAGCCGAGCTCCCGCGCTAGCGGTGGCTACGCACTGCGACTGGTACGCAGCGTTGCCGCGGGAACTCGGCTGGTAAACTCGCGCTCTGATTGGTCGGAGTTTTTCGTTAATATCTCCGGAACGAAGCTTCAGATTACATTGTTGCTGAGGAAAAACTTGTTTCAATTCCCCCCCCCCCCCCCCGAGTGCCCCATTCCCGGGTCGGACAACATTTTTGTTACACCCTGTAGAGTGCGAGTCGGATTGGATCGATTCCCCCGTTAATGCCGTGCCGAGCCACTTGTCTAAAATCGAGTCTGGAGGCGCTAGTCACGGGCGGGTTTTCACTTATTACCTCCGAAATGCAAACCGCGATACGATTGTGTCTGGTTTGCGGGTTCCGCGTGTCCCGCGTATCTATTCACCCCACTCACTTTATTTTCCTTACCGATCATTCCTCCAGCTTGAAACGCGCGTTTACAAGTAAACAATAATGCATATCGTTCGATTCAGTTCGTAAAGTTTCTAATATCGTTTCCCTTCCATGCTGCTGATTGTTCGCAGAACGAACAGGTGAGTGTATACCATGAAAATATATAAATCTACGATTCACGTGTTTCATACATGTCTCACTAAAAGTCACCGTGTCAATGGAAAATATACCCTTTCCTAATTCTCTTTTTAATTGTTGATTGAACGATGCGGATACACGAGCTTACACGTTAAGTGGTTATAGATTAAAGTTTCCATATTTCGAGTCGACTGACGACGGAAAGCGTTCGAACGATTTCAGAAGTGTCTCGTTTCCTGGATCGAAGTGAACGGATAACAAAGCATCGGACTTCTTTCCCTGTTTCTATGTTTTCGTTGGCGAGAGTGCCGTGACCGATTTAAATGAATTTGCATGGATTTTCCATTTATCCGTCTACCGTCCGTTTATTGCATATTTATCGAAAACGACGGAGAACTAATGCGATAAATTTCAATAAGCTCATCGGGCAACGCGTCATTCGGCAACTTTAATATTCATACAGCTTCGGAGTGTATTTGTTGGAGTCAGGGCTCGGACGCATCGTCATTTGTGAAATCAGAAAACGCAAGCGGCTTAAGCCGTGAGCCGTGAGCGTTACAGAGCCTCTCCGTGCAAGCGTACAGAGTACTACATATATGTAGGTATGTACTATACACAGAGACCTGAACTGCTGGTGCTCCCAACGAGAATGCTGATTTACGATCGAAAGTTTAAGTCGGGATGGTCGTGGCACGACACCGTCCACTCATTGGCTATACTCTTTCACGTTTTTCCAGTAAAACGAGATAGTTCTCGCACTTTTATTTGCTATTGTAATCGTGTATGAAAATTTAACCGATACCATGGAACTTCGTTCATGCGTAGTGTTAAATACAAAACGACTACTTCTTGCGATCACTACTTTTCACACAGACCACGAGACATTTTTCATCCGACATTACGTTCACCCCAAAGAGGATCATCGTATATTAAAATGACAGGTGACCAACAAGACGTAAACGGAAAACTCTGCGTCAATTTTTTTATAGTTATTTCTTATCCAATTTACTTACATATGTTTAACGTAAAACCTACGATTATGCGTACAGTTTGGACAAGACTGTATAACTGCCTTATACGAGCAAATGTTTGAGTCAATACGCGTTGTTCCCATAGGAAGCATTAACTTGGAAGAAAGTTCCATTGTCACCACATAGGCGCTTGGTTCCGATTAGAGGGTTAGAGGAAAAGCTGATCGATTAAGCGCTGGATTCTGTAGTTTCAGAGAGCGTGTTTTCTGCCGCCGTTGGGGTTGGAGTGGGTGGTTATACCTGGGGTGCTCCCACGCCACCTCCTGGATCACCGTACAGCCCAGTTCCTGTGACGCAGCTCGAACTACTGGCCAAGAATTTGGCCAGTTTAGCTCCTTCGGGTCAACAGGCGCTTAGTCTTCAAGGTGTCGGTGTGAACGTCGGCAGTTTGCATCACGCCCAACATACCCAACATACACAACATACACTGAACCTAACTGGTCTTCATCATCTTCATCATGGTGAGTACGCTGTAATGTTTGTCGAACATGTATACCTAGCGTTATTATCCTTTAGAATTTTTGCCTCTTCAAACCGAACAATTCTCTACTTGGAGTTAACTTTATTTATAATTCCATGTAAAGTGTATTTAAATTAAGCGAACCAAGATATCACGAACATATTGCAGAGTCGTAAATAATAAATGGAATGCGAATGGGAGACGTAGGACAAAGTTTCTCCCGGTGTTTTCCAGCGTCCATGTCATCGATCTAAATATGATATCGGATATCTCGATGCCAGCAAACTTTTCTCGTTTAACTTTATCGATCGATTTGATACAGTCGAATTAAGGTTACGCATTCAACAAGTTCGAGGAGTTTAATCGCCGTACGATGGCCGCGTAACTCGAAGTAAACATTGGAATAATCTTTGATCAGTTTGGCAGATGACTGATATTATTCGATGGTTCTTTCGAAGAATGTGTAAACGCGATGGCGATGGCTATAGCAATCGACTACGTTAACTGTTGCGTTAGTCGGAAAGTAATTTCGTTTATTCCATGGAAATGAAAGACGATTCTTTTTCATTGAAAGGAACAGTTTTATTAAACAGTTATATATTGACTATTTTGTTCCAACACATTTTGCCACCTTTCAGGTAATGAAGCAATTCCGCGCTCCTAGAACTTATTGGCAAAAAACTGAAGTAAGTGGTTTTTCACACCTTCATTTGAACCAAACGTTTTGCGTGAGAAGTGAAGAAACACTACACCTTTCCTGTTCAGCAATTCCCGGTCTCTTGTGCTTGATGGAATCATTCACTTTGTTCAATTGGTGACAGTACATATTCGAATTAATTCTTTGGTTGTTTGATAGGAACTCAAAAAAAGAAAAAAAAAAAAGAATCCCTTTCCAATCCCACCAAACAGATAGCATCACCTTCTTTTGATGGATAGCTTTTGATGTACTTGGAACTAATTCATCACGTGTAAATGTCAGTTGTCAAAATATGTGATGATTTTATAGGTTAGAATAAATACGATTAACGACATCTAACTGAACAAAACGAAATTACTTTCCGAACAACCCAATAAATATGTTAACCATGTACCTACCCCAAATAGCACAAAAAACGTCGTATGTACGTCCGATGGACGTACGTTCCGTACGTTCTGTAGATTCGGAGGATGTCCCGAAAAAGTCCATATCTTCCTGTTAGGTCCTCATTAAGATCTTTAAATGTCGTAAGAAGGTCCTATTTAGAAACTGGAACGTCCTGAGGACGTCCTGTGTCAACATTCTCTGAACGTTTCTCGAATGTGTAAAAGTAACATTCCCTGTACGTTTTGGGAACGCTTAAAGAGATTTTAAAAACGCTATGGTAATGTCTTAAAAGACGTATAAGAAACGTTTCCCAAATGTTTAAAATTGCGGTTAGGTTTCATTCTGTGCAAGATGACAGGAGTTAGGTTAGGTTAGTTTGTTTTTTCACAAATAAAAGATTAACTTTTCGGCGATTTCCACACTTAGTAGAAATTAGATCTAGTTAGTTCCTGTTAATAAATAAAAGGTTAAATTTCCTGCAAGGAATTATAATGAAAATATAGGTCTGAGGATTATGATCTCCAAGTATATTGTGTTTATTTCTATTTTCACAGCAAAACTCTAATTTGGTGTTGGTTAGATACGGTTTAAGAAAAAACATGTTTTTTCAACTTTCTTGAGGTTTTCGCACAAAACCACTAGTGTCGTTACACTTCTCTATTGATTCTTTAAAGACTGACACCTTCTTCATGGGGTTTCATCACCTTGCACGGAACGACATTGGCAAAAATACTAAACGAAACCATCAAAAATTTAAGTCTTGAGAACATCCGTAGGATTTTTGGGATGGACGTTTCTAGAACATCCGAAATTTAAATCTTGAGAACATCCGTAGGACTTTTGGGACGGACGTTTCTAGATCATCCGAAATTTAAGTCTTACGAACGTCCTAGGGATGTCCAAAATGGACGTAGGACATTCGGATATAAACTGGACATGAAACGGACGTACTTAGGATGTATGGTGCTATCTGGGACCAGTACCTATAGAATTAAGTCCGCACCGCGTATGATGATAATATCGCATGATTTCGTAGCTACAGATAAAAGGATTGATGAGACTATATTTATAAACAGGAGGTCTTCATCAAAACACTTTCTCACCGCAACTGTCTTTGGTCACCGGGAACACTCCCACGTTGACGATTAACAGTTTCTCGTCGCCAAATTCGACGGGGAACGTGGTACCAACAACGGGAGTGCTACTTCAAGAGTATCAGTCGCCGACAGGTTCGACTACCGGATGCTCGGTCACCGTGAACGGCACCTCGTGCCCGACGAGCTCAACGACGAGCACGATGGTGATGCAGGGCGGAGAGCAGACCACTGGCAACCAGGTCGTTCAGACCACCAGCAAGAAACGAGAGGCCTTCCTGCCGAGTCAAGGTCAGCCGGTGAAACTGGAGAACAAATCGCCTAGGCAGCCCTGCGTTTGCAGAAACACCGGTACGTCTTTCCTTTTCTCTCTTCTTCACTCTGTTCTTTTCCTCTCTTTTTTTTTTGTTCGTCTATCTGCTCGACGCGACCGTGTGGTGCTTTTTAACGATCTTAGGCGAGGATTATGTTCAGGTCCCGAATCTAAACGAACCGTTTAAAGGTGCTTCCTTCAAATGAGCTCAAGAACGGACTCACTATGAAAGTTTTCGATAGATTGGTCGATGTTTACAACTATTAAAGATGAGACTGTGTATTTTTGGATTTATGGGTAAAAAAAGAAAAGGATCCTTTGGGAATGACTCTCGGCTGGATACTTCATGTTGTACGTGTCCTGTGTATCAAGTGATTTTTCGGACTCCGATACGGAGTTTAGAGATGCTGTGTGATCATTCGTTCAGAATTTAATAAGTAATGATTCTCGAGCACCTTTGATCGATTTAGTACGAGCAGTACTTGAGAGGTAGGTACTCGAGTAATCGGTAATTAGGTACCGAACTGACCGTTATGATACAAAATTAGATTAGGTAGAACGATAAAATGCAATGTTGTCCGTCGCGTCACAAGAAAGGGAAAATCTTGCTCATTGTCTCTAGGTACATAATTCGATTTTAGAGATCCTAATACGAAACTTTTCACATACTTATTTCCGTACTTCTCGATCACAGGAGAGACCCAATCGGATTCTATAGTAGCGTACATTATAGAATACACTTCTGACCGCATTTCCGTAATATGTAATATCCTTCTGTTGCTCGACCCAACGACCTCCGTAATGTCGCGCGCGTGAAAGAAGTAGGAAGCTTCCGATCGGCTACCGTCGTTGATACAATTGCCGATCTTGCAGCGATTCCTTTCGGGCATTCCGCAACGCGAAAATGTGTCGATCGCTTCAGTCAGAAGGAGAGAAGCCAACGTGGATTGGTCGTTCAGGACCCGGAGTGGGTAACACTGACGGAGAATGATGGTGTGAGACAGGCACAGAAGAGAAGCGGGGGAAATAACCGAGAACGCTGATGAAACAACGGAGGAGGAACAAGAAGCGTAGAGTCGTTTCGTAAAAAGAATCGTAAAGTCGAAGGGAGACAAGGAGAGGGAGGACGAGGAGGAGAAGGAGGATGGTGTGCGTGTTTATAGGAGAAAGAAACGGGGGAGAAGCAAAAAACGATTAAGACGGCAGGAAAAAAGACGCAGTTGAGAGGAAAGAAGGTTTTTGAAAAAAAGTCTGAAAAGTCAGCAAACACAGGAGGAAAGGATAACCGATGAACAGACATGCGGAGGAAGAGGCGATACGAAAATGAGAAAAGAGAGAGAAAGAGGGACAAGCTTACGCAAGATTCTGCCGCTTCTATAATTACTGTAAGAGTCGACTGGCTACTCCACCGGTTTCTCCTCGGTACCCCCGACGTCAGTTTTACGGTTCGTTTTCGTGATTCATTTCTTTCCACCACGTGGCCCAGTCGATTCCCCAGTCGACTTCCCACGACGGGGCTACTTATTCGGGAGAACGACCGCGACGAGTCTTGCTGGCTGAGACTCGTTACCGGAACGCCGCTGACAATGAGTAAATTGCACGGAATACCGAGAAAACGATGCTCTTCGCGTGATTTCGAGCAACAGAGACTGACCAATAATTTCTCTGCGGTGTTACGTAAATATCGTGGAACCAACTTGTCCTCGTTACCGGTCATAATCAATCTCTGACCTCGTTAAAAAACTATCGTATTCACTTTTTCTACGTGTTATAAATATATACATACATAACTGTAACTGTTTATAAAGTCTAATTTTTCAGCTAGGATTGATTCAAGTGCAGTGTTTCTTTCGATGTGTCTATACAGTGTTCATTTTTATTATTATTTTTTTTTTTTCAGAATAATCTTGTATAAAAATAATTTAATAAATTAATATTTTGTCGGTTGTCGTTCGGGATCCTACAAGGTTTTAATTTTTTACGCATACATAGATTGTATCAGTTTCTTTTTTCTGGACTCCGGTGTGTTCATTTTTTTATCATTTCCAGCAGTAATAATAGTACAACTTCTTGGTTGAATGCATTCAAATCTAAAGTGTTTATAATACTATCAATGTTAATTGATAATTTTGACATCATCATCAACATCAATTAAATATGTAAAATACATCATTCCCAAATAGCACAAAAACGTCATATGTACGTCCGGAGAACGTACGTTCCAGACGTTCGGTACATTCGGAGGATGTCCCGAAAAGGTCCACATGTGCACACCCCGCCTCTACGTCTTCGTTAAGATCTTCGAATGTCGTAGGAAGCTCCTACATATGTATTTACAAAATTCGACCGCCCTGAGGACGTCCTGTGTTTCCAACATTCTCAGAACATTTTTCGAATGTGTGAAAGTAACATTCTCTGTACTTTTTGGGAACGTTTGAAAAGTTTTTAAAAACCCTATGGTATATAATGCCTTAAAAGGCGTATAAGAAACGTTTCCCAAATGTTTAGAATTGCGATTAATTGTGAACAACTTGACTGTGACAACTTTGTAAAACATTATTCAAGATGCAACTGCTCGTTTCATAACGATTCGAAGATACTTCATATTTCCTAAATACTCCTCAGTTAGAATACGCATCTTTCAATTTGTAAACGTGTCAACTAGAGATGGCGTGCAAAATCACTAACGGTGATTTATCACAGTGATCGCCGAATCACGATCACGGTCGTGATTTAACTTCATTTACGACAGTGATTGCGATTTTTTTATCTTGAGTGAATTTGCTCACTGCGATCGTAATTCCTTGATCTTTAAACAGAAAAACGTATTCAATATGATTTTACGATGAATTACATTACTATTCGTGTTTGTAAAAATCAGTAGAAAAAACAAGAAATTCTATAAAGAATGATTTGCTAGGTAACATGTAGATTATAATTTATAATCATTAATTTATTCATTATTCTTCATTGTTTTTAATTATTTCTTCACTTTATACGATATAACTCGAATTTTTGTTTTGATGTCGTTAATATAAAATATACAGATTATGTGTCGCGTGTAAAGAACTGTTAGGTTTCTCCACCAATCAGAAACGATCACGAGAAATCACGAATCACTGTGAAAAATCACCGTGATTGGAAACGTACGTGATCGAATCGCGAGTGATTCACAAATAGCAGTTCACGCCATATCTAGTGTCAACAGTATCACCAGAATCCGAAGGATTCGGAGACCGAACAGTTTCCCAAAACTCGAATAAAGCACAATTCAACGTGCAGGAGCTTTTATCACGGTTTCATAAAAAATGTAACAGAGTTTCATGAAAGCTTCATGAAATTGCAGAGTACTCGTAAAAGTCTCGTTCCATTCGCGAAGTTGTTATTGATCATACTGATCGTTTCAGTGGAATACAAAGAGTTTGTGTAGGAATACAGTCAAGTTCACGGATAGCTATGGCGGAAAGGATGTTCGTTGGTCATATATAATAATTCTCTGTACTTTGTGTCACGAAGTGCTGGATGATATAAACGTTTTCATTGTTATTTGGCGATCTACGAACGCGCACGGTTTACATTGTACGTCGAATGTTTCCGCAAGTTGTGCGCGTAGCCACGCTCGACAGCATAAATGTTCACAGTACAGACGATAAAGTCTGGATCGTCCTTTTTCCCCCGATTACTATAGTAGTCGGCTGTGGAATTGATGTCGGCTGTATTCACGCAGCAATTGACCTCGTTGCGAGTCCCTTTTGCCCTGATAATCGTTCCTGAGACGTTCGGATCGATAGAGTAAACACTTTGGTACCGCAACCCCGGTTGGAAATTTGGCAAAATTAACATGGTCGGTGAACACAGAAGGGTCCTGAGAATCGCAGCACGTTGAATAACAGTAACTCTGATTGATCGAATCGGTCTCATCAATTTCAGGGAAGACAAAGACTGTACATTCCGATGCGGGCTGCAGCAGGACGTTGCCGGTTGCCTCGTCCTGGAACGGGCAAGATTCGAGTTGCAATAACAACGTGAATGGCGGCGGTAACTTGGTGAAAAGGGAGCCCTTGGCTTCGGTGCCGTGTCAGGTCGCCGAGGTCTCAACGTCCCTTCATGCAACCACCACTTCTGTGAAAATCGAGCCAGTTCCACCGAAATCGGAAAACGGTGAGTTTGCCCAAGTTTCTGGAACTATTCAATTTACAGTTTCGTTTTCTCTGCACTCCTTACGGTAAATAATAAAATAAAATTATACATTTCTGCCGGGATTCAAACCCGCTCCTCGTGGACGGTAGTTCAAGACCCAACAACTTACAGATAGGTACACACACGTAAAAGTATCCGCGTATCTCATACTTATTGTACCTATAACATATTGTTGCGTGGACGCGGCATGACTCCCGAATAAATAAAGGCAATATTAATAAAAGGGAAGAATTATTTATTTGGAGAGGAGGAGTACTTATCTTAACACGTCTTTTCTATTCTACAGTCGTATCACGACTCTACTCTGTCTCTGTTTTGGCGTTGTTACCAAATCGACGTCGCTAACCTGAAGTCTCTCGCTTTAACATTATACAATACGTGCTACCTATCGGGTAACACGTAACACTTCCCCCTCCTCCTCTTTTAAGGCTCAAATACATTTAGAATTTAACATTTAACACTCTATATAACATAAATAATTCTTTTTCATGAAGAAACAGGCCTTTGGTTTCGTGGGAATAATTGTTGATAGTAAAATTACCGTGGACCCATCAAAACCAAAAACTAGCCTGATATTCGCCCAGACAAAATTTTCTGTCCCTGGGAAAACCATGGTTTAAAAATCTGCAAATATAGGAACGATAACCTATGAACCTTTGCAGATATAGTCAGTGTTAAAGTTCGAAATATTGCTTATACTTTGCAGTAGTATGAACTTTGATTAACACATACTTTAGGCCAGGATGCATTCAATTGAGAAGTAATACATAACTTATTTAAGAAAGTTCTATTGTAAGTTAGAATTTGTAATCAGTGGAAGTAACAAACGAACGTGCACGAAAGTATCCATCTACGATCACTATTTACTTTATACAAACGTATTTACAATAAATTAATATTTTGTAGGATGTCCTCGTGATATTACTATGTTTTAATCTGTTATATGCGGTGATTGAATTATTTTTTTTTAAAGAAATTTAGCATGTGAATTTTGTTGCCGTATCGAGCAACAGAGAACATTAAATTTTCATTTTAACCTAGTCTTAGGTTAATCAGGAAGTGTATTAATCAAATTATATGTAATACCAATAGAGTGGGCGGATACATATGCGAGTAATTTACCGTGGATATAAATAAAGTTGTGAATTCCTCTCCTTTCTAGAGGTGGTAAGTGAACAATTGCAAAATATTCAAATTTTTCAAGTTATTTTTTATAAAGGCAGATAAGCGTTAGCAGTTATGTAGTATTCGAAGTTTTGTTTATACGTAACTTGCTCGACATTTTACACCAGTTTTCTAAAAAAAACCGTTTGTCCTGATTCAAGATTTTCCTTGTCACTCCAAGTGTCACCGAAAAACTATCATAAAGAATTTCTGAAATGTGTGAATGTCTTAAAAACTTTGACGAGTTTGTTTTGCATCGTTCAAATTGAATTGAATTATTAGTAATTTATTTGGCATAGCCAGTACCAAAAAGTATTTCACGCAATTGAATACCTTTTGTATAGGTACAGAAGAATGGAGCCGTTATGTTCATTGAAAATACATAACGTGTTTTGCTGTGCATTGGAGAAAAGTTGAAGCTCGATCACCGTGACTGTAATGATCATGAAGAGTTAAATATAGTCCGTTACTAACATTCGAAGAATTTGTGGATCATTAATAATTCTAGGCAGAAGGTAGTTGACGTTGACGTTAATTGGTAGGAAGATAAATACATATAAAATACAAGCGAATATGCATAGCGAATTGAACAAACAAGCTTTACCCCCCTAAATTTGAAACGTTGAACATATTCAAGATCGATATTAAGTATACATTATTCTAAATGAGCTTTAATTCGTGGTACAACGGAAATGGAACGCAGAATGATCAGGGACTATGGTAAAATTAGTGAATTTTGAGAGTCATTGGAGTAGAAAAACTCTTTCACCATGGATGATTTTGCTCTATCGAATCAGAAACTAATAACCATTTATCCTGAAAGCCATTAAAAAATTACAATAAACACGGGTAAAATGCAAAAATATAATCGTGAACGTAACACATTTATGTAAATGTTTTTTTTTTTTTTAGTTTTATTTTCTTCGAACGAAAGTGTACCGGTAAAGTAATCATTTACCAGGTCATTACGAAAATCGTTTGAAAAGAGTCAGGCCTGGATTAAGATTTTTGGGGCCCGAGGCTATCTAACCTTCTAGGGCCCCCTTGGTTGACGGTGGAGGGGATACATTTTTGTAATGAAAAATACAATAAAGTACATAAATATCTTAAAAAATAAAAAGTTATTCTAAATAAAATTAAATCACATTTAATCATAACGAAATGGAAGGCTTAGAAGGGGGCCCCCTAGAAAGCGGGGCCCGGGACTACAGCCGTCCCGTAGCCCCTCCCTTGATCCGGCGCCTAGAAGAGAACAGTAAATTTATATTTAATAAAAGTGAGAAACTGGAAAATTATTGTTCAACATTCGCCATTTTAGGCTTTACTTTGTACGGAACTTCGTTTCGAAGAAACTCGATTTTGAACGTTCCTTGTAAATGCTTACTAACGCTGAATACGTACTTGGGTGTCGTGGATATTTATTTCTGACTACTGCAACTTGTGTTGATATTTCTGAACATTGCGAACGGTGTACGGTCTTGGGGACAACGAATGGATGAAATTGAAATAGCCTTGCGCTAACAACGTCGAAATCGTCGATTACAACCGGAAACAATTGTCCCGATCGTTACAATACGTCGCATAAGATGTCGTAATCGTTTTAAGGAGAAAAGCTGGACACGGCGAGGAAGGTGTAAAAAGGAGGAGCAAAACGAAAACGATGAAAGGTGAGAAGGAATTAAGGAAGTCAGAAACGGGAGCGCTTATACAGGCTACACAACAGGCAGCGGCGAGGTAGGGGGATAACGAAAAAGAAAACAGTGGTTGAAGTCGGGTGGGTAGAGAGGAAACAGGCTCGTTGAGTAGGAGGTGCGTGGCACGCATGGCGACGCAAACACAAGGCGTGGCTCGAAAGAGTCTCGACCCTATGTCTATCCCCGATATACACCAAAGTATGCAGGTATATACATATACATACTTGTAAGTACACTCGCGAATGGAACGATCACCGGCCTACGCTTGTCCGTACGCGGTTACGTCATGCGAATCGCGCGGCAAGTAACGAGGAAAACGTGAACGCGGCGGAGGCTGGGTGAGCCGTCATGAGAAATCATATTGTAGATCCGATGCCAGCCTGTGATCGGAATTCCTTCGTTCAATTCTCCCATTCGTATATTTTAGTCACTCGGGGACGATGCAAAACATGGACAAATGATTTCGATCACATTGACCCCATAATCAGACATATTATTATGTTGAAACATCGAATATTTGCTCCCATTCATCCGAATTAGCCAGCGTAGGTAGCGCCACGCTTGTATTACCTACAGTTTGTCATTTTCTTTTCATCGACGACAAGGAAAGAGCGAAGAATGCGAACTATGCACGGCAAAGAATGAACACCAGTAATGAAACTCGACATCTCTCTGCATGTTCATATCTGTCTTTCAGGAATCGTGGTATCGAACGCAGGGGCCGGTGGTGTACCAGTTGGAATCGCTGTGGCAAGGCAGAGATTACAGCATCAAGAAACTTCGACTTCGATGCGCAATCTTTCCCTGAGTCATCACACCTCGCATCATGCGAGCTATCATCACTTCCAGCCTGACAGTCTTGGTAAGTCGATGTTATTTCTGTTTCTAGCTACGAAGTCCTCTATCCTTCTGGATCTGTTGCCGCTGATGAGGACCTTGGAAAATTGATACTTCCTGGATCTTCGAATCCGTGTCTTTGCCATACCAATGTTCGATCGCGACTGCCTTTCGAACTGTCTTTTTGGCTGCGGTTAGAAAGAGAAAAATTACCGATAGAATATTAAAAACACTTGTCACCGAATCGCTGAAGCAAGCGACGTGGAAGGGAATCGATATTTGTCGGTATTTCGCGATATGTACCCCCACGAGCAAACTCGGCTTCCGCTAGAGGAACAAGTGGCGCAGAAGAAACGTCTTCTACCACTTCGTAAATTAATTTCAAGTACAGAAATAAATGTTGAAGCGAATATTAATTTGGCATAAATTTCAATAACTCCCAAAACTAAATGGTAGGAGGTCTTTCGCCAACCTCACATTTTCCCCTAGCGGAAGCGAGTATGCTCGTCGGTGTACCTTGGCCTCTGATGCGTCTCGTAACTTCACGTTGCCTCGAACGATCCTTCGAGAAACACGCGGTCACGAATATAGTATACATATGTACATACATATACCTCATACAAATGATTTGGCACATCACGGAGAAGAGCGAGCTTCTATTCATAATCATCGCTCGTTGCCGCCTCGAGTTCCTTTACGGCGACCAGATCGTGCTGTCGTAATTATTGCGTTTCCCTCGCGATCGTTTCCATTGCGATCGATTCCCTATCGGAGGATGTCCAATCGTAACACGGTATGTACACCCACGAGCAAACTCGGCTTCCGCTAGGGGAAAAAGTGGCGTAAGAGAAACGCCTCCTACCACTTGGTAAATTTATTTCAAGTACCGAAATAAATGTTAAATTGAATGTTAATTTGACATAAATTTCAATAATTCCCGAGACCAAGCGATAGAAGGCCCTTCTGCACTGCGAGTGTAGCCTCGCGAGCAAACTCGGCTTCCGCTAGGGCAAAAAATGACGTAGGAGAAGGATCTCCTACCACTTGGTAAACTTATTCCAATTACTGAAATAAATGTTAAATTGAATGTTAACTTGACATAAATTTCAATAATTCCCGAAACCAAGTGGCAGAAGGTCTTTTCTCTACGTCACTTTTTCCCCTTGGTCGAAGCCGAGTTTACTCGTCGGTGTACATGTGTCGATAGTTTTTCGCGCGATCAACACACGATAACGGACCATTTGGCCGAGAATGGTAGCCAGATGAGAGACCTGCACCAAGAATTTCGGAAACGTGCATGATTTTCTACATGAATCGCGATTGGCAGGTAGATATACTATATGTATGTATATTCGTATCTGAAGTTTTCTGCGATGTAGGACTATTTTGGTAGAAAATAGTAGAGCTGCCATAGTATTCTATCGCTATCCACCATTTGCGTGCAGCAAGTGATCTGTATTTTTGGAAACTGATGCCAGTTACTGACGATTACTTGGTCTAGAATTGCATTGATAGTGTAGGGTGTGAGATGCGTGAGTTTAGTTTTAGATCGAGCGAGTGCGGTGCGAGTGAAGAGTGTTTAGGCCGTATGACAGTTTTGTTCGAACGAGAGTGCGTGCTAGATAAGATTGAATGAAAGGAACTGCGTCGAACGTCGTGATCGAAAATCGACACGAGGCGAGAATGCGTGAATGCGTGTGTGAACCTATGACCGAGTGTGACCATGTATGAAAGGGGATATATAAGAGGGAAGTTAGTCAGAACGGGTGTGTCTTAAGAGCTAGACTGTTGCAAGCGTGTCCTAACGAATTCTTTATACATATTTTAGAATAAACCTTTTATTTCTACCAAATACAACCACCACTTAATATTATTCCTACAATAGTAGACTTGGGAAGATTTAGGTATACCGAAGCATGGTTGGTTGGTCCTGGGCAAGCAAAGGATGGTTACCATTCATATTTTTATTCTCGAGTCTAAACTGACAGTCTAAATTGACCGATTTCGGTTAAACTTATATAGTTGGGCAGCTGCAAAACCGAGTAGCAGACTATAGTATGTTTTTAAACTGGCGGTTAAACGTTGATGCATCAGTGGACAATGTTCTAATTCTATCATAAAGGCGGAATACATTAGGTGTCTACACCGAACCTGTTCTTAGGTTCAAGCACGGCCATGACAGTAGGCGGTGCGACCCTGATGCATTGCGGAGGACCTGGAGGGGAGGATCGTCCGGCCCACCTTGCCATTCCTTCGGGAGCTCTAGCACCCTCCTTGAACGCTACTCTCGGCTCGAGCCTGAATTCCAGCCTAAATTCCACGCTGGGTAGCATCGGAGCCGCGGCGAGCGCAGCCACCGCTGCCACGACCGCATGGCCGCCTACCTTATGGCAGTACCCCGCGGCGGCCGCGGCCGCTGCAGCTGCAGCTGCAGGTGAGTCCCATTCCTGGTTTTTCTTTGTTCCGTCTTTTCGTCGCGTTGAGTAAACACTGTCCATTTTCTACGGAAAAAAAAAAATGTTTCTTTGGTGTTCCGTTTCTCAACACTTCTACCCTTTAAGGTAAAATAATTGCCGTTCTTTTAGCGTTTTCATCAAACATTAGACCTTAAGAAATTGCTTTTGATATATTTGCCCACTGTCTGAACAATCAACAAAGTTACTAGTCTTCCGACGTCACTAAGTCTCTGGATACATACTGCACATTCCTTTGCAAGTTTGTCAGTATGTATGTGTATTTTGCAGAGATGGAAATATGATCTCGTTTCATACGCATTTTCGGCTCTAGCGATCTTTTAGCCTAAGTTACTATTGGTCATTCGCACAATCGGATCATATAAGTCCGCGTGGCGTAGGTAGCGAACCGGACACATCGAAACAGAGTGGGATAGAGCGATAACGCGAGCGATCCGTCGAACTTCAAAGTAGGTAGATATGTAATGCCGCAGCGTCTGACAATCAGTTACTTAACTGTTGGTCGGTGGGTCCGTCGCAGAGCGAACGGAATACCCCTCTTGCCTCTGTGCCGTTACAGTAATCATGTATCCAGCTCTGCATAGTATGTTCGGAGTTTTCGGATACTCTTTAAATGAGATAATCGGTTAGAAATATCGGAGAAAATTCAAGCGACTTTGATGAATATACAAATTGAAATACTAAATAAAATATTTTATGCAAAAGTTCAGCATCCTAATTCAAGATCACCTTAAAATCTTGTATAAAAATAGGCTATTCAGAAAAATAGTTTTTGCATCGTATGTTACTCTCCATTCCGTGTAACTCATCTATGTATGTTTTTTTGTAGAACATACAATTTAGAAGTTATTCGGTATGGCCGAGTTATGTATGTGATTCATTCGGTATTGTTAACCATCTGAACCACATCTTTTTCTGTAATGATAGTTATGCATTAATGATTTATCAGTATGCATTCTTTGTGTATTCGTTCGTTATATCCGAGGATGGTCGAGCTCTTCGGTGATCGAATAACATTTAGTCGAATAACAAGGATCTACATTCGTGTTATTCGTGCATTCACGGGTTACCTAAATCATTCATGTATCCTTCCATTCGAATAGTCGATTTTCAGCTCTTTGTTGTATTTATTTCAGCTATCTATCCGTTCCTTCATCATATTCGAGGAAACAGCAGTAGCATGGGAATACTTTCGTGAGAGTTCTGAATCTGAAAAAAAAAAACGTGATTTTTAACCCTTTGCACTCGGAATTTCTAATTTTCCATACATTTTGTCGCTTCAGAGGTGACAGTCGAGTGCAAAGGGTTAATATACAATGGTGCCCATTCTCGCGCCGTCAGCAGATTCATCGTCAGAAAATATTTTAGAGCCGTGAAAAGTACGGGATCAACGCGATTTGTTTTTTTTTTTTAATTTTATTTACGCGACACAATCTGCAAGATACGTTTCGTTCAATGCTAATTAAACATTCGAATTTAGAAAATTAAGTTTCACCATGAAAACCTTAATCCTTTACCTACATTAATTTTGTCATTCATGAAATGGATGTTACAGCAATGCCAATGGAACCAGTTGGGTTTCCACAAATGGGTGTCGGACTTCAAGGTGGTCTGCAGTTGGTCAGAGATCCAACAACGGGTCATCTTCTTCTGATTCATGCCGCCGGTACGTACGAAAATTCATGTATAAAACATGCATAGACTCCAAAAGCATACAAGCACAGCGGAAGATTTTCATGTATTTCAATCGTTATCAAAGCTGTGTAACTTATACCATCTTTTTGTGCAGCGTAGAGTATTTGTGTTTCATAACAGCGCGTAATTATATTCACAAATAAAAGACTTTCTACCTGTTTATTTACAATACTAGTAAGAACATCGTATAAAAAAATGTACAACAACCTCGTACAGTTATTTTGCTTTATTAGAATGAAGTAAACCAGAATTCTATGTACATATTATGTAGTATAGGTACACCGAAGTACATAGCTCTCTTCACGATAAAAAATAATTATTTGAAAAAATGTTATCAGAAGTATTTGCAATTATTTACCAGCAGAACAAATGCAGCAAGCTGTAGTGTGGCCAAATTACTCGAATCACAATAATGGAAACATCGCGCCGCCACCTCTTTTATTTCCACCACCGCCACCGCCGTCTCTTCAGCTTTTGAGCGACATGGGCGGAGCAAGGTTGGTTCTCACTGAAAGCAAGAGAAAGCAACAAAGTGCCCTACCTATTGTCAAGATAGAGGCCGACTGTGGCACGAGTCCTACCGCCATAATCAGTGAGTACTGTATGTTTTTTTTTTTTTTTTTTTTAAATATTATTATAATCAAAAAGGGCGCTTTGACAGTGGGCCTCCTGAAATGAGAATGGCTCGTACAAAATTGTATTATCCTTAAATAACACTTAATGTCATTTACATATTACACATGTGTATTAGATTTAGTAATAGGTTCTTTCACATTTCGTTGGATGTGCTGTTATTTTGTACCATCTATGAAATAATTTCTGCATATTTTAGTGATTTTCCACTGAGAGAATTTGATAGAGTTTGAAATAAATAAAAATTAGACGGGACAATGTTCGGTGAATATGATGAATGAGCTAACAATTTTTATCAAATTGATACCATTTTTGTCGTATCGTCCAAGTGGAGTGTGGTCGGTCGTTATCACGGTGGACATGGACATGTACTGCTTTTCTTCTACTGTAAGTTCGTTTAACCGTAATGAATCTGATTTTTCTGAAACATTTCCATATCTTTATTGACTCACCAGTTCGTTCCTTGCCTTTCGAACAGAAGTCTTTGTTTCTGAACCATTAAACGGTTCGAAATTAAAACGCTTGTTAATTGTATTGTGGCCATATACATGACAGTTTTCCTTATTTTTACACTTGTCTTAGTCCGAAAATGAAACTGTATTACGTGACAAAAATGAACATTGTATACATGCGTTCATCTTTGAAGATCTTTCTACAAATCACATACATACATTTAAAAAAGTTTTGGGTCAATCAAATGGTTCGACGCTAAAATTTGAGAAAATTCCGAAAAGTGGAGTTATTTGGTCACTTTGGTCCGCGAACGGCTCGTATAGGCATGTCATCGGAAAGTGAACGAACTTATTATTACTCAGCCTAATATTTACTGTAATGTTATACATACACGTGGCAATGATACATATATAGCTCCTAACAGAGTGAATTGAAGTTATGTTAAAATTATAATTTATCAGCATCGGCACTTATCACATTTCTCTAAAATCTACCCGTTAAGATGCACGCCCAACGAGAAATGGTAAATAATCGGAGATTAATTAGCGTTCGCGTATCAAGATTCGATGAACTATGACGCGAATGGTTCCCTAGATAACGTCAAAATCGTAAATCCACAGCGTCGACTGAATCAACGAAAGCCTTGCAGACTGTAACATCGATGACAGGAGCCATCGTGCCGGATACACCTCTGGTGACTACACTGCACTATTACCCTCACGCACCTGCACTGGTCCAAATTAGCCAGGCCGAGCCCACGCATTGCAGATCGCAGGTAAAGCCATTTTTCCTTCAGGTTTTTTGTTCTTATTTGCTCTGTGCACTCTATGTTTGTCGATCGTATGAATCAACTCCCTGTTTCGATAGCGAGAAACGCAAACGTCGCGAACAAAGTGCAGGGACGATAGTATTTATCAGGGGTGTGCGGGTACCCGACATTTCGGGATCGGGTCGGGTCGGGACAAGTCGGGCGAGAACGACTGGGATGCCGACAGTATAAATCGCATCCCGACAGATGTCGGGTCACGTAACGTATTCAGGTCTCGAAACATATTCGGGTCCCGTAACATCTTCGGGTCCCGAATGATATTTTCAAGAACTTTTCCGTCTAACGGCAAAAAATTATACTATACGATACGATGCCATATTGAATCTTCAGATTCATGATATGAACTATAAATGCTAATAAGTTGACGATTCCAAATGGAATCCTCCGGTTGGACAGGGTTAATAATACAATCTTCAGTACACATTTCTTCGTGCGTTATGTTTTTATTAAGTAAAATAAATAAAATGGCAGTATTAGGGACATTTAATCTATCATACAACATACAGGCATGTATAATATTATTTTAAATTATAATGTATTAAAACATCATTCCTCGACATTGTCCGGAAATAATTATGCTTTTTACATTATAATTTAAAATAATATTATATATGCCTGTATGTTGTATGATAGATTAAATGTCCCTACTACTGCCACTTTATTTATTTTACTTAATAAAAACATAACGTACGAAGAAATGTGTACTGAAGATTGTATTATTAACCCTGTCCAACCGGAGGATTCCATTTGGATTCGTTAACTTATTTAACATTTATAGTTCATATCATGAACCTGAAGATTCAATATGGCATCGTATCGTATAGTATAATTTTTTGCCGTTAGACGGAAAAGTTCTTGAAAATATCATTCGGGACCCGACATCCGTCGGGATCCCGATGCGATTTATACTGTCGGGATTCCGGCCGCTCTCGCGCGAGTTGTCCCGACCCGACCCGAGTCTCGAGAATCCCATGATTTCGAGTACCCGCACATCCCTGGTATTTATGCCATGCTTAGAGTGCGGTCCAGCCGTTCGCATAATGCGGAAACGTTGTGTTGTGGCAGATTGTATTGATCACGCGCAAACCGATTTGCATCGCTATATCCATAGATACATATTATGAACCAACTCGCAGTGGTTTCTTTGATGCTTTTGACATTGAACGTTTCTTATCGGCATATTTTTGTCGCAGTGTCGTTTTGTTTTGCGTTTCATTTCGTTCTTCATGTTCGTGTTGATCACCGCACCTTCTCGTTTTCCTTGTTTCCCTTGAATCTCCCTCTGTTTCAGTTCACATCCTTTGTTATCGGAAAAATGTTCGCAATAAAATTACATGGTCATCCAGATCCTGGTCAAGAGATTTTCGAGGACCTACGGTCGGATATACCGACTACATAGCCTCATATGTTGCCTGAGACATATCACAATCCAATACCTACTATATTCGAGTGGCCAAAAACGCTCATTTGAAAAGCACATGTTTAATCATCAGAACTTCGTGAAGCACATGACTTATAATCAGAGAATTTCTCTAAATACGCGGCTCAACTCCTATTCTATACAAACATTCGTCTCCTTCAACTGTCTTATTTGTAAACGTCCAACAACCTAACCCTGTGTGAAATAGTTAAAAAGCATAACCACGCGTATCAAAAACTGCGAAAAGCGCGTCAATCACGACCCTCCAAATTCCTTACAAGCTACATCGTTACAACAAGCGAAGTAATCCCAAGTCGGTAAAAGCCGAGTCTTATATTTTCGAGTTTTCTTTGGTACCTATACTTCGAGGTCTCGTCAGAGGCAATGCATCCAAGTTGCGATCCAAATACGGAGATTCGCGGACTAACGCAACAACAGAACTACCATCTTGTTCGAAATAGTACAAGTCTGCAACGCCTCGCTATTGCTGTCTATTATTGCGTGTATACAGCTGTGGTCCCTTGCCTTCTACTCGCTTGATTTAGTTCTTGCAGTTTGTCTAGGTGGCCTTGAAGGCCCCTCCTCTGTACTCTTGTTTTTTATCATTAGCTTGGAGTTGTCTTTGTGTAAAAAAGCTTTTCAAGGGTGGTTTGACTCCTCGGCAATAAAAATACATATCGTATATTTGCCGGTGCATTGTTATCGTGTAATGTGTCATTAAGACTGGTGATTACCGATTAGGCGGTGTTGCTTGTACAGGTGTGTCTTCATTGCCGCATCTATGGCAACGCCATTTTAAACATTTCAGCACAACATAAGTGTCTTTCGCTATGCTGAAATACATGTATCTAATGATAATTACGTCGGCTGTGCTGAAATATCTAAAAACGCGTTACTTGTCGCATGGTAAAGCTGCGGCAATGAGGACCCACTTTAAGACTTCTTATAATTAGTCGGTTCGGTTTAAAGATAGTTTTTTCCTTACTTTCTTTAACTTGGTTGAAATTCGACATCGCCTAACTAGCCAGTATTTGACTCTTGAATATCCTGCGCGTAGCAGCGAAATTCGTTTTTGTCGAAGGCGACCTCCCCTGTGTCGTGCTTGACGCCGCCGCCCGAGGTAACAACGATTCACGCGGTCGAGCCGCCGGAAGTTGCGCCGATAGTCGGTGTTCAAGATGCATCGAACCAGACAGACGCGCCGGAACCCGAGGATCAGGAACCACCACCGCCACCGCTACCGCTACCGCTACCGCTACCACCACCGCCCCCTCCACCGCTGGTAGATACGTGCGTGAAGCAGGAAGAAAATTTTACTCCTTGTCAGCTACAGAATTCAAACAATTTGACCACGACCACTACCAATCTGACAAACCTGACTAACTTCGAGATCGTGGCCGCCTCGCCAGACAAGGTGTGCAACGTAGTTCGAATAACAACTACGACGACCACCGTCAATCCGGCCGTCTGCAGCTTCGTTGGCAAAGTGGACAAAGCAGAAAACACTATTATTAATATGGCCGACTGTCCGAAATACTCTATCACGAAGGACTGCAGGAGCGTCACGGCCATTGACAGAACCATAGAACACGTGGTCAAGCAGACGGACAGACAACACGACGACAGAGGACACGCGGTCGAGGAGAACGAAAAGAACGAAGAAGACCGGTTATCGTCTAGGGACATGAGAAGCGGACCAAGGATCATTGAGATCACCGAGGAAAATTGTGACAGTTTTCATGAGAATCTGGAATTTTTCGGAAGGAGGAAAGATCACTCGATGGACCGTCACAGGGACAGGAAGAGGATCTATGCTGCAGAGTCTGTTCTGACTGATCAGGAAATTAAGGATGACACGAAGGCTGTTGAGAAGTGTGAGGTGAGGATCAAATCAGTATTGTTTAATTTGGACTTTTATTGATATTTTACACACGTACGGTATAACGTCCTAATAATGTCTAATATGTTTGTGGCGTTACCATATTCTCCAGTTGTACGAACTGACTTGGAATACATGTGTATCCTCGCGAGCAAACTCGGCTTCCGCTAGGGGAAAAGGGATGTAGAGAAGGGCCTCCTACTATGCTCCTACCTCTTGGTATTTAGTATTTGGAATTACTGAAATTTATGCCAAATTAATATTTGACTTAACATTTATTTCAATACCTAGGATAAATTTACCAAGTAATAGGAGAGTTTTCTTCTACGTCTTTTTTTCCCCTAGTGGAAGCCGTGTTTGCTCGTCGGTGTACATATGTAGATTATGGGAGTATAGGACCCTAGAAGACAGTTAAAGTATAGCGAGTTAGTAAAGTGCACACAAACCGTATGTTACAAAATAACCTTGTTTATTTTTACATTTAAAAGTTCATTTGACAAACATTTTCACCTTTATAATCTAAAGCTATTAATGACCAACCAAGTCATAACTCTAAAACTATTAATAGTTGACGTTGTTAATGTTGCCTCCTCTAATCTCGGCTCTCCGTACGGTGAACATTCTGTGACCTGTAAAACGTACGTAAAGTAATAGAAGCAAATGTTTTATCATAACTTGTAGAGGGAGTTTGGTCACTTTGATGCACCACAGCACAACGAAACATCAATAGTATTTCGATATCCATTAACATTTAAATGTCCAATATATGACCATAGGATAGCATATACATATGTACATATGTGGGTATAGGTGCTTATATACATATATTGAACTTTACAACGTTTATGGATATTTCGAGATAACTATTGATGTTTCGTTGTGCCCTGTTACATCAAAGTGCCCCATCTCCCCTTACTCATAATTATCGGATTATGGAATTATACATATTCATTCCAGTGTCTTGTTTTTGAGAACACTAGATTGTTGGTTGAAAGTTCACTTTTCGCGTAGTGTTGTCTACTTTTCTAAATTAACAATTTTAAAAGCTGCACATAACCCAACGTGGAATCATATAAATATTATTTCTACTAACAATAAGATTAGTAGTTACGGTGTACACCACTTTAAAAATGATGTTTTAAGAAAAATATTTCGTGAGCAAAATAGCGTCTGGTCACTCATTTTCAATCTACTTAAAAGATATTGGCAAAGTACACATTTGTTACAATGTTGAATACATTGCATACTTTAATTAAAGACTCTCAAGTTGTGCAGTACAAGTAACAACGGGCTATAATATGCCGAATAAAGCCAGTTTTGGTGTACAACCAAATGCATAGATTTTTAAAGACCTTAGTCTCGAAAGTTATGAAAAAAAAGTTGACTTTTAGGGTCCTATAACCGGTTAAAATGAAATTTACTTCTGGATAAAAAACAAATTTCAGAGCCAATCAAAAGTAAACATTTAGCCAAATTTTCTTCATTCGCGACGTAACTTATGCGCGTAGATATTTTAAGTTGTTACTCTAAGTCGTCTAACCATTCATAAATGAGAAAAGTCATCCAAGACACCTAGTGCTATTTCTTTTATTGATATTTCGATATTCGTTATCAGATCGTAGCCACAACACTTTTTCTTTAATATCTTCTAGACTGAGTTACCTAAAACCGAAGACGGAAAAGCTGCGAACGTACACAGACACGCGATCTTCGCGTCCACAGAAATTCCTGAGGTCGCGCAAAAGCAGACGGAAGAATCAAACGGACCAAAGGTAGTGATTGCCTCGAATTGCAATAGTTGGGGGAAGAATCGAGATGATTATTCGCTAACTCATCAGTCGAGTGCTTGTCCGCAGATCACGGCGAAGTCGTTCGACATGCCAAGCATCGATTGCGATGACCAAGAGGTCGAAAAAATAGTAATAAAGCAAGAGGTCGATGAGACTGCGTACGAAGATTACATGTACAATGGTGAAGCGACATCGGCGATAGAAAAGCCAACAAAGTGTCAGGATTCGGCGAAGAGGCACTCGGTGGAGAAGTTTCATCCTGGGATAGAGAATGTGGTGGAAAAATTGAAGAAGAACGCGGCCGCGGCTTTGCAGGAGACGGTACTTCAGAAGGTCGAGGATCCGAAAGACAACGGCGCGGATATCCAGTGCTCGAAGAACCGTTTAGATGCAACGCCAAGGACATTGGAGAGCGGTTTGAAGAAGCACATCCTCAGATCCTGTGGGAACACGCTGTTCGACGACAGACATGAAATTCCAAGGGTGCCTGAGGTTTCTTCTTCGGCAGAGGCAACGGGATCTGGACACGAGCCTCAGCATCATCGACTCAAGTGTTTGGAAACAGCAGAATTCTTTTTAAACGATAACAATAACGACACTAGGAGTAGCAACAACAATATTAAAGTGACCGAGAAGAAGGATTTGGATTTAAGGAATGAAAAAGCGTTATCGGTAGATGTGCGCGAGGTGGAAGAAGTGAAATGTTTCGACGACCCCGCAACACCTAAGAAGCAACGAAAGGTAGAAGAAGGGACGTATGCGTCGTCGCCGGACAATCAAAGTTCCAAGTCACGAGTCAGTTTCAAACAAAAGCCTGCGGTTGATATAAGCGGACTGGAGCTTCTTTCGAACAGCATCGAACAACTGGAACATCTAAAGCCGGATACGGACAATGTCGCCGTATCAACCGATCTTGAAACATCACCCATCAAAGCCAAGCTGATTTCTCCCCAAGGAGAGAGTAATAACAATAACAACGTGGATAGCCCATTGGGTTTGTTGTGCGCCCTCGCGGAGCAAAGGTTTATGGAAGAAGTAGGCGACAAAGTACCCAGAAGGCTCAACCTCGAAAGCTCTGAAGAGATATCTCACGCTGGCAGACTGTTACTGAACTTGGGGAGAGGAAATCATCGCGAGAAGGAGGCAGGAAAAGAATCGCACAAACGAAAGTATGCCCAGACAGATACAGAGAATGAGAACTCGAAAAGATTTAAGAGCGACGTAGAGTTCGAGGACGAAGAATCAAAGTGCGACACGTTCAACTATGATGAAAGGAACGATACTAGTAAACCGTGTGCAGAGAGATTGCAAAATGGAACGACCTTCAGGACAAAGGGAAAGACAAGAAGGAGTATAGACTTCTCTGAAAGGAACGGTGTCAGAGTTGATGGTGACGAGGAAACGGCGAAGGACAAATCTGCTGGCAAAAACAGACCGTACAAGGACTCGGATTACGAAAGGAGCGAAGCTTTCGAAGAATACAAATATCGCTACGTTGAGTATCAACAAGCGAACGGTACGTGCTATCGAAAAGAGTCTGCTGAAGACAATCTGTCGGACTCTGACACGGAATCGTACAATCGAAATCTGGCTTCACAAGCCATAGAAGAAAGCAATGGAGACGTAAACAGAAAACTGTCTGCTGCAGAATATCGCGATTGTCATGATTATAGAAACTTACAAGCAAAATTAGATGCAAAAAAATTTATTGCACGAAAGGGTCACGCGGACAATGACGCAGACTGGCCGAACATGGACGCCATGGAATTAGATATGAGAGTCAGGTTGGCTGACATTCAGAGGCAATATAGAGAAAAACAGAAGGAATTGTTCAAGTTAACACCGAAAAAAGATGAGAAGAAAAGTCCTGGAAGGCCACGCAAAAAGAGCCATTCATCGAGGTAAATATTGTGAATTTTAGTTCTTAGGATCATCAGCTTGATTAAAGTAATGGTAGTTCCCCATTATTCTTCTTGCACCATTCTTTTTTACAGAAGGAATATTTAGCAGAAAATTAGTTTAAAGTCAGTTCCAAAGAGAAGCTAACACAAATGTTCGAGCAGCAAGAAATTAATATTTTATAATCAATGTTTACAGTTCTGATCACGGTCCTCTTGCGTCGCCGCCAATGTTAGAGCCTACGCCTTCTCCACAAAAATCCCCCTTGCATTCACCTGCTGGAACACCACCGCCATTGACATCTACTGTCCTAGCCATGCCGCGGTGTAACGTGAACTTGGTGAAACTGGGTGAGCCAAGAAGTCACATTAAACTGTTGGATAGTATACCAAGCATTCCGATCCCCGTTTCGCCGGTCGCTTCACCTATTACTGTTCCACCATCGAACAAACCATCGCAGGACGACGATGAGAAAAGCACAGGAAGGGTGAGCTGCACTTTCAATTACAGTAGAGTGCTGCTTGTAAGCCGTGATAAGCGGAACTTGGACCGGTTCGAATGATTTCTAATTCGGGTTACGCGTAGTTCTTAGAAGCAAAAACCACATGACTCACGTGGTCACGTTCTTTTGGTAACGTGTCAGATAATTCCTATAAGTATTATAAGTATAACATTATACGTATGTATGTGTATTATGGGAATACCTGATAATTTCATTATCGATACAATGCGCACATTTGGTAAGTATTTTAATATAACAACATTTCGTTGGCGTTGTACCGGCGTGCAATTGTTTTTCAATATTTTTTATTTTTAACATTTCCTATAAAAGTCGTACCATTGTATCATAATATCTATCTATACGTATACACTATGTATACATACATACATACATACATATATGTATAGAATAAGTTGATGTAATAATATTTATGCGTACCTACATACATTGTGCTGTCGTAGTTATCGAATAAATACGATTACCTAAATGTCTTATGTACTTTATCAAAATCATTTCTAGCTGGAATATGACACATCGTCACCTGCATCGACCGTAGCAAATTCCAGTTCAGCTTCGAAAAAACGAAAGGTTGGTCGGCCTAGGAAACTGATGTGCACATCGGGAAACGTGAGACACCTGACGGAAACGATAGTTGCAAAGAAACCTAAAAGCAAGAGCTCCCTCGTAGGCTATTTATTGTCGTCGAAGAACAGACATCTTCAAGCAAAGGTAGGTGAACTACTTAACAGTTTAATAATCAACATGATTCGGTACGGTGGAAATGTTGTAATTTCTCCGTAGTATGTGGGTAAAACTGGGTACACTCCGTTGCCTTTCAAGACCGGAGGAATGTCCTTGATGAAATCGTCCTCTAAGAATCATAAGTCGACGAAATCGAAATCCAAACCCGCGAAACAGACACCTCTGCATAACAAGAACGTGATCAGTTCGATAATCGCGGAAAAAGCGAAACTGAGTCAGGACGTCAAGTTGGAGAAACAGAGCAAACCGAAGCCGAAACTGAAAACAGAGGTGAAAGTTAAAATATGGGAGGATGATGAATCGAGTAGTGTTGCGGAGAGTGTGTTGCCGGAATCTACTGTGCAGGAACCAATAAAGGTAACGTAACGAAAGATATGCTGAGTTTACTCAGTTATATTCTTTTCACGAAAAATTTCTTAAGAAGACCCTCAAAGGATATTACACGAAATTTCGTCATATGTATTACAGGGCAGGGTAGAGATGTAGGTAGAGATTACATTATTTGAAGGATCATCAATGGAACCAATCGGAGTTTAATATTTATTAAATTAACTTTAATATTTATTATAAAACTCGGGTTAACAATGAGGCAGAGATACTTTAGTTATCAATTGTGCCCATTTATTACGCAAGATGTGTAACATGATACGTTGATATTTTAGGAGATTCCCGTTGAGACACCAGAGGCGGTGGAAAAAGAATGCGAGAGGAGTAGGCACGAGAAGTCGAAGAAGAAGAAACGGAAGTCCAGTTCGTCGTCTCCGTCGCGACGCAAGTCGAACGACCGCGAGAAAAAGGAATCGAAACGAAGGAAATCGCTCGAATGCAAGGAGTGCAGAGAATGCGCGAAAACCGCAAAGGCCGAGAAGACGGAAATCGTTAACAAGTGTAAATTAACGTCGGCACACTTGGCCATCGACCAGCTGAGGGTTCTTACGGCGATGGGTGGGCTATTTTACGCGGGAAGACTCAACGCCGTTCAAGCTCCTGACGTTTATGCGATTACGTTGGACGGCGAACGGGGCAACAGACCTCATATCCATTCCAGAGAGGAAATTCTACGGGACGCGGTAAATTAATGTCGATTCATTAGTTGTTTCGTTTGCTTAACGTTTTCTTCATCGATGTAAATCCTCATTTCTATAAGTTCTATTGCCGTAGATCGTGGAAGTATGTCCTACTTCGACGAAAGAGTTACCGCCTGGTACAAGACTCTGTGCTTACTGGAGCCAGCAGTATCGGTGCTTATATCCGGGCACCTCTGTCGAACCGACAGAACCGGACCCAGAGCTCGATGAAAAGTTTGTGAGCGTGGAGTTTGATGACGGAGATAGTGGCAGAATCGCCTTGGATGATATCAGATTACTACAACCCGATTATCCTGTTGTTGGTAGGTTTTTCTGGGTTTGTTCAACGTGCGATTTCTGTAACATTGCTACACATGATACTCGGTGGTACATACGTACCATTCAAAGATATGTACATATTACTGTAGGCTGTACGAGCTTATTCCTTTTTAACACATTCCCCGTCCTGACGGTCACCGATGACCACACTGAGTTTTCGGTTTACTTTTCATCAGTCGTGTATAACCTTCATTTTAATATACAGTATTTCTATAGTCATGAACGAAAGGTCAGGTGAAATACGTCCGACGGTGAAATGTGTTAAGGGGAGATTACGGATCTTTTGGTTCAAAAAATCGATTTTTTTTTATATATTTTGAATCCTTATAGTGTCTACAATACGCCTCTAAAAGGATTTTTCGTAAGTCGAATTATTTCAACAGGAAATGGCGACATAAGCGTAACGCTTCACCGGCCAGATTTAGCTGTATTTGACGCGCTGGTATAGAACCGCTTCAAGGGTCACATAACTACTTTTATTGGTATTGTGAAGTATAAATATGAATTCTAACATTTAGATGGCAGTACCTGATGTATTAGAAACATGTTAGTCGGTAAAAAAATTGGCGTCAGTGTCAGTTTTCAGAATTATGGCTTGTGTTATAGTTCAGTCGAGTGTATGTATAACACAACAAACAACTGTGAGCAGTTCTTACGGCTTGGCAATTCAGAGACACCATGATTCTGCTGAGGACACGAGAAAAGCAATCTGGGCCACGTTTTTACATAAATGTTCCACTAACGACAAATATGAACACGTACATTGCCCCGAAGGAGAAAAGAGCTAGTGCAAGTGGCGCGTCGCAGAAGCACGAGGTACACTGCGTTCTTTTGAACATGATCCTCCACTTGCTCCTGAGGTTCAAAAAGCAATAAAACCCGTTTACGAAGCGGTATCTTAACCGGATTTATTAGAATGATGTACTGGAGGTAACACGCAAAATAGTAACGAGAGCTTCAACGCGTGTGTCTGGCTATTTGCTCCGAAACATTTACATTGTGGCTCTAAGACTGTGGAAGTGGCAACATATTTAGCTGCTGGTATCTTCAACGAAGGATACACTCCCGTGATGAAAGTTATGGAAATTCTGGGTATTGAAATGGTTTTCAAGCGAAGAATTTCGCCATAAATACAGATTTCCAGCGGACAGCGGCAGCAGAGTCACGAGCGTCAACTTCCAGCAAACAGGCAAGAATGGACCGATATGCACAAAATCGAGAAGAACATGAATTCTACGAGGTTGCAGAAACTGATTAGACTTAAGTTCAAAAAAATTACTATTATATACAAAAAAAATTTAAGTAAAACTTTAAACGCGTTTTTCTCGAAACTACATTTTTCGAATTGGCGGGAAAAATAACTCTTCAACCGATTAAGCTATCGACTTCGGAATTTTTTCCTCTTAAAGTTAATCGTTTTTATTGGAGGATGAACTAAAAATATTTACAAAATATTCAAAATTAGTATTTTTCCTGGCCCGCGAGAGTTTAAAAAACGTTACTTAAACATAACCCTTTTTCTTTGATAAGCCGTAATCCTTGCACAAGATGAAGTTTACCATGATTTTTTTAGTTCATCCTCCAATAAATTTAATATACTTTCAGAAAATAACTCGATTTTCTTTTTCACGTATACCGTTTTGTCTGTATCTGTCCCGCCAATCGGGCGTGCGCGGCGCGCTCAAACAAGCAGCTCTAACTCGGCTATAATGCAGTTTTTTTGTCTTGATGGTATTGGAAATTTTTCTTCAAACTTAAGTAAATATCATCTGAAAAGGCGAACATCTACATGGAAATGCTTCATTGTTGAACAAATTTCTTAAAAATGCCTATTTTTTAGCCAAAAGATCCGTAACCTCCCCTTAAGGAATTTTTTCTGTTATCGAAAGCAACGTAGGCAAACGTTCACGTAATGATTAACGTGTACTACATTCTGTATGATACGCTATGATATTGAAATCAAATGAAATATTCGATAATTATTGCTGTTGTATACAGTCTTTAGTTATTCTTATTATTCTAGTATACGTGAGTTTCTTTCGAATTACAGAGTACGATCCAAATCCTTTGTTGTCACTGGGCAAGCGTCGAAGGCAAACGTCGGTGTCGATGGAAGATAAACGCTCATCGAGCAACAATCAACCATTGACTTCGTTGAACACAAATAATGCGATCCCCACTGTTACCTCCACAACGTGTTGTTACGTTTCGTCGTCTGAGGGACAATCGCTGGAACGACATAAGTCGGACGACATGGACGCGAAAGATTTGGAAGAATATCGCGAGAGGAAACGCATGAAGAAGAGAAGAAGAGACAAGTTGAAGAGGTTGCAAGAGGCACAGGAAGGAAAGAAAAAGCATAGAAGGCACAAATGTTGCGAGGAACACAGAAAGCACAAACACAGGAAACACCGTAAACACAAGCACAAACACAGCCACCATAGCAGCCACAGCGAAGGAAGTCACGTAAGGTAGGCTCCTCTTTCGACTTACAGAAATTATAAATAGTCAGCTAGTAATTATATAGGGTGTCTCAATTATACATAATGAACGTCTAAATTATTTCTACTGGTATTGAAAGTAAGAGAACAACAAGAGTAAGAAGAGTTTATACGATTTCAGGACGTGCATCTGGTGATGACAAAAAAAGTCCCCCCAAAGTTATCATTTCAAGGCCATCGAAAATTTTCTTTGCACATTACATTCTGTCTTTTATGATGGGACGTTTTAGACGACGTCAAAACAAGTGTGAAAAAGCGATTAGGCACGAATGAACGCATGCCGTTATTCTTGTCTCGAATTAGTCTATAAACCCACAAAGTTGCATTCCAATCCGCGAGTCAGCTTTCGCGGTATCCCCCTTGTCAGTACTAGCGGAAATAATTTAGATGTTCATTACAAGTAACACACTCTATATACAATAGTAACGAGAAAAGCATATAACAATATTATGGAATAATGGTTTTCCTACATTAAATTTCGTCTTCGAGTGAAAGAATTAGGAGGGAGAACATTATAATAAGCATTTTATCATATTGGTTTAATCATTGTGGTTATCACAGTGACGGATTTAACTACATGTGTATATCTGTAAGAGTTATCATTCTTTTCGTTTTGTAAAAGTTTTGGAAGTTATTACCTCAAATAAAATAGTGATCGTATCTTTTGAGCGTTTAGTTAATAAACTCTTGCTATTTGCAGAACCTGCTAGTCTAAACATAAGATTTGTTTCTTCTAATTGACAAACGGTATCATTCTCGTTTTTAATATTCATAATGTTTATTTGAAATGTTTTTTACCAGTGGAGAGAGTTCCTGTGGCCAGAAAAGCGAAGAGGAAATGGCCAAGGAGGTAGTGTCTACAGTGGATAACGATGCAGAAGTTGAGGAGGAAATAGTATCGCAAGAAGAGATTGTTCCGGAACCGATTAAGGAACCCCTACGCGAGGAAAAACTCGAGAAACCCAAAAAATCAGAGAAGAAGTCGAAAATGCGAGAGAGGCAGGAATCAGTGGAAAGCCGAAGTAAAATGGCAGCCTTTCTGCCAGCTAGACAATTATGGGGATGGGCTGGGAAAGGTTACAGACGACCTGGAGCTAAAGGAAGAGCCAAAAAACAATTCTTTAAGGCCATTCAACGAGGAAGCGAAACTATTCAGATAGGTGATAGCGCAGTATTTTTGTCGACCGGCAGACCGGACAGACCTTACATCGGACGCATCGAGTCCATGTGGGAAACTTCCAGTTCCAACATGATCGTAAAAGTCAAGTGGTTTTATCATCCGGAAGAGACCGTAGGATGTCCAGCAAATTTAAAGTATCCGGTAAGAATGCAAATAATTATTTTAATCTTTATGGTTTCCTCAAATTTCAAGAAAATCTGCATGGAATCAAACGTTCATCCATTCTATTTTGCCGACTGTTTAGTACTTGTAGCATGTACCTGTGAAATTGCAGTCTTGTCGTTTCCCAACCGTATTCTTTTCGCCGCTTATTAACTAATTATATTTTCTGTATGAATATTTAGGGCGCCCTTTTCGAGTCTCCACACATGGACGAAAACGACGTTCAAACAATTTCTCACAAGTGCGAGGTGCTACCACTTCCAGAGTACACGGATAAGCTAGGCAAAGAGCCCCACAGATACCTAACTATTTACGACAACAATGATATTTATTACTTGGCCGGTTACTACGACCCCACCACGTACTTATTGACTATGCAACCCGGGGTTGTTTGAGAACAGCTAAAGCTGACGATTAAGTTAACGGGCGTTACTTAATGGTCGTCAGCCAAGAAAATCCGCGAAATAAGCTTGAAGCACCATGGTCTCGCTGGTGCTATACGGTCGAACGTGTCATTTGCAACAGGACAAGCTTGGGCTCAATCAAGCTTTGGCCGGAACCACGAAGTCACTGGATGATTTCAGAAGAAAATAAGTTTTGCGTTGAAACGCGTGACGAGACTTGTTATGTATCATCTCAAGGCACAGGCATGATTTATTATCACAGTAAATGGGATATGTTTTAATTACGTTACTATCCATTTCTTTTTTTAATGGTTACGATCATATAATATAATATATTGTTACGATCGTTGATTTACTTCTAATCGTGTTGATTGAATACGACGTGGATTGGAATTCATTTTTTCGGCACGAGAAACGGTTGTTGATTAATCAGTCGAAACCAGCATCTCTCGTTCTTTATATAGTTAGAAATTAAATGAGGCGGACTTTGTTTATCCGAGTTTCGGAAATTTTTGTTTGAACGATGAATTCCCAATGGTGGAACGCTTTCTTCATGGACGCGAGATTTTGAGACTATCCTTCTTTGCTGTTGTGACCAATAGTTTTCCGAATTTCGCGGGATATGAGCGAACAATAATTGTGAACGTCTTATTCAGACACGTGCAATGACAAGTTGTTTCACTGTTCAAGAGATATACCAGATTGTTCAGGTGTTGATAGATTTATACGATACACCGGTAAGACGACGTTTGGTGGTGAGGTTTCAATATTTTCTTGCAAAAAATCGTTGTAGGGATTTCAATTGGTCATAGGAGGAGAAAGAGAAAGAGGAGGAGAAGGACGACGAAGAGGAGGAGGAGGAGGAGGAGGAGGAGGCTTGTGCCTTGTGTAACAGAGTTAGAAAAAGAAACGTGGCTATAACTTGTAGTCGGGTTGCAGTTATCGATATTTCTGTCACTCTTATATTTCGACGGATGTTGACAGACGGTTAAAGAACGGATACATATAAATATATGCAAATCTATACGTGCTACATTATTATGTACAGGAGAGATGCAATAAGTATAACGTGTGGCATTACGACACGATGCGAGAAATGTGTGTGCGCGCGCTTCTAAGTATAATCAAACTCGCCTCTGATTGTTAATCATTAGACCGGTGTTATTATTATCGTCCAACCGTAAGAACAAACAGTTAGCAAATAGAGATTCTGAGCAAGCCTTGCTACCTGATCTCTATAAATTAAACAGGAGAAATCGTGGAAAATCGTTCAAGATTTCGAACTTCAAGCTTTCCGAGTAGAGACTCTTCATTTCCAATACTCTTGCGCCCGCGCGTACAATGGGATTACAGTGTGTGTACTTAGGTTAAGAATCGCCCGCTCGCGTCTATCCCTCGCGTCCATCACAGTTTTGTTGTGTTCCACGTATTGGTCCGTTTTACGTAAGATCCGAAGCGTGTCGGAGGAATCGATTTGAGCAGGCGTCCGTTTTCTTTTATTTTTCAACGATGCAAACCGAGACACCGTGGATTCGATGCTTGAGGTGTCGCGTCCACGACGGAGAAGTACGCTGGTGATACGAGACAAGGTGCTACACATAATTTGTTTGTGTGATACGCGCGCGTTACTGTTTCTATGTGTCGATTCAGCGGTTGTTTGAAGCGTTCACGTTAAGCGTTGATTTCAATGAGCCGCGGGATTAAACGGTGCCGTTTAATTCTTTAGGATTAAGACCTTTTTTTATTGGCGCATTATTTTTTTTTTTTTTTTTTTCTATACTTCACGACGTTCGATTTTCAGCGAGCTTGCTTTCTCCTTTATTTGCCGAGACTTTTCTTCTTCATTCCGACAGAGCTTGTTCCTCTGAAGAGGAAAATATTAACCGTACTCCCTTGATCCGAGTCCTGACCGACTATCGAGCGAAGCTTGTGTTATTTATGCGAAACTTGTTTCTTGTTTTTCACGCGAACGGACCTAACAAGCACAGAAATATACCCACTCGTAACAAGACGAGGCACGATTTTACTACAAAATTGCAGTTACAATAATCGGCCGTGCGTTTTCGGTGTTGGTGAATAAACACAATGAAGGAGGGAAGTACTTATATCGCAGTGCGTGTGATTTTTGCGTGTATAAATAGGGCTTCTAGTGTACGTTCGATTATTGTTAGATGCACAACAACGCGACGAAATCGAGCTTCGTCGTTCATTCAAGGCAATAACAATCGCTATCTAATGAGGAGCGATCGGTTCCATTGCGCGCACTAAGTATTATTTGTACATATATTTCATTGTATTTTTCTATTAAGCGCAACGAACACGAGGAAAAAAAAGAATGCTGATTCAGGAATCGTTTGCTGTTGGTAATTTGACCAGAGGTTTCCAATAGCCCCGAAGCGCACTCTCAAGCGTATTTTTTCCAATCGTTCGAAGAAAAATAATATATCCAGAGGCAAATTTAATGAAAAAAGTAATGAAAAGAAACGCTTGTAGACCGTCGGAATGAACAACGGCTCACAGGCCAACATTTCGTAACGCGAAGTTGTCTTTCCCCTAGGGGTTACATTGCAATGACTTTCTCTCGATGCTTCGACATTGTGCTTACTCGTAGACAACGTAGATGAGGCACGTTCGTTTGTAGATTTGTAAATATGTAGATTAGGTAAATCTAATGAAATGTCGGTGTCTTCGATCGGTTTTTTTTTATATATCCTTATCAATATCATCTTCATTAATCGTTGTCCTTTATTCGTCGTTCGATCGGTTTCGAAGACGTCGATTGAAGGGAAGTATGTATCTAGAGTGTGTAGATCAGTACAGATGGTGAAAATCGATATCTAAATGGCCCCGCGAACAAAAGTTTAAGGTTCTCCACACCTTTCAGCATTATAATCAAATTTTCATTAAGGCATACGTGCAATTTAATATACATCTTAATTTACTGAATACCAAGGTGTCCATGATTTTTAAAAAATTTTTCGTAACATTGGTATATTCATATAGATTGCTCGTCCTTGGAGCTTCCAAACACTACTGTAGTTTTAACGACGAAACAATTCATGGGGAAAATGTATCCTTCGTCGTATGCGGTTATGGTTTCGGTCAGTTTGTGGTATATTACAGTTTTCATTTAACAAAATCCGCTCGTAACAAACAAGCGGAACTACTGCTACGTATAGATTTGAAACGGTTACATTCGAGAGTTGTTCTCGCGTGGATACGTAGTACATACCGTATAAAAGTGTGTATGTATATATGGAGGCATTCTTGCACGTTCCTTTCCCTCTAAACATATTGTATATACTCTCGATTCACGGAATGAATTTCTGACATAGATACCGACATTTCACACCCGTGCTCCTCTCTTTTTTAAATTTCCATCTAATCGAGGCGTGTTTCAGAGGTCTGCGATCGGTGAAGTGATTCGATGTGTTGCGTGTACAAGGATGAGAGAATTGACAATGTTTCCATCGGATTAGAATCGTCACGCGGTTTGCTTCGCTTCGACAGATTCGAAATTCGAGGCTCGGTGAGAGATATGTTGTAAGGGATAATCGTATACCGTTGGAACTAGTCTAGCCGCTATGTAAGGGTAGTTTGTAAGTGTAAGTTTGTCGGTTGAGGGATGGACGAGACGATCGTATATCCGCGTTCGACGAAGCCAAAAACCGAACGAAACATTTTACGTCTGAAACTATGTTTTCTTTTTTTTATGCCTTGAACAGTCAAGTTCACAGTAGCTTCATTTTTCTTTGTTTTTCTTCTTTTTTTCTTGTTGTTTTTAAGAGGAGACGCGACTATTTCGTCGATTTAACATCACGAAAAGAGGACTCACTTTTTGTCACGTTGCGTACGCGATTACCATTTGTATTGATCGCGCGAAAAAAACCACGTGGCAGTAATGTTAATGCGATAATTAGTATTAAATCAGACATACGAACCTGTATATTTTACGAGGTAAGAATACGCGGATGACTTAACAGAGCAAACAAAAAAATGCAGAGACAAAGAAAATAATATTATATTCTAGAGAATCGAAACTGTTCTATTTTATTAACGGAAAAAACGTGGTTAGGCAATTTAACACGTAGTACGAGAATATGGAGCGAGCAAAGCAAATGTACTATGGTAAACGAAAAAAAAAAATGAATAAAAGGAAGCATATAAAATGGCAAAAAAAGAATATCTATATGTACGTATAGATATAAGTATATCTACGAACAAATGAGATAAACTTCGGACGCGCGAGATCTGATGTGAGAAAATAGAAGATCTTCGAAGAGACGTGCGACTGTTTCGAACCCAAAAGTCTGAGAAAAAAGATTTCAAGATAAACAAAGAGATATACAGTTGAATTTCCTTTATATTTTCCTACATGACTTTTGTATGGTGAACGGCGTGTGTGTATCGCGTGTACGTGTAGTGTGAGTGTAACCCGAGTCTCGGTTGACGATTGCAATCGAAGGTGTACATATATGAATTTTAGTAGGTCTCGTTGAAATATACTATCGTAGAACCCCGGGGAATATACAAGGTGTCCCGTAACTGGCGGTACAATCGAGCAGGGGGTGATTTTACGTGTAAAACTGAATCGAAAATGTAGAATAAAATTTTTTTCATAAGAAGCTTTGTTTTCGAGGAAAATATGTTTGAAAATCTATTGGATACGCGTGCAATTGAATACATAGGACTCTGCTGCTGCGTCTGTTCATTGCATTCCGTTTCTACTTATTGCCAGCACAAATACACACGTTACAGATGAATATTCACACTTAAATAAAAATATGTTATTCCATATTTTCGACTTATTTTTTCATGTAGAATCACCCCCTATCTGGTTTTACCACCAGTTACGGGACACCCTGTAGATGTAAATGCTGATGCACCGAATTAACGTATAATTATAGATACTCTTATGTATTGTTTCACTTCCGCTTCGTTCTTAACAGTATTGTCAAATCGAATATTTTTCCTTCGTGGCCGAATGACAT